AGCATAGAGTCCTCCTCCCATAGAAAAGCATGCCAGCTGGCTGATACCCTGGCGTAGTTTCGGAGCAACGCAGGCTGTAAGGAGTCCGGATAGGCGCCGTCGAGACCGTATGTCATATGGCGCTGCATAGGCCTATGGCCACTCTGCCAGGCAAACACAGGATCATGCCCCGCCGCCCCAGTCACGTCGTCGTACCGGTTAAAACGCTCGGCGGCGGCACGGACGTGGCGTTCTGTGATGGCGATCGAAATTTGGCGATATAGCTGGACTCCAATGCCGTCGGGAACACCTGGCGTGGCATCACAATGTCGTCGGAGTTCTTTTGTGAAGGTTGAAGAATCCCAGGCTGTACCGATTCTTGATAGAGGCGCAAAGAGCAATACTATACCATTGGTCTCGGAATGGAAACACTTACGCAGTATTGCCAGGGCCAAGGGTCGGATATAGACTAGATAGTGAAGTAAAAGGCGAGAGACAGGTTGAGAGAAGAAGCGAGCGACGCAGAATTCCTGGTTTGTTGCCAGACGGGCCTTGTGATGTCGGGTGACCGAACATATCTGGCCGCCCCAGATATAAATTCCCCGACACCTCGACGAGGTATTGGAGTACTCCACTGTCAGCAGCTCAGAGATCCGCGCGCATTGACCACCATCCAGGTTGCAGAGAACCATAAGTGTCTTCAGGAAGTCATCATGGGCTTCGAGATAGGCCTGGGCAGCCTTAGCATCCCAAGCGCCCTGAGTTCTGGCCTGTGTTCGAACCAGCCCATTAACAGGCGAGATGCATGCCCTTAGCAGGACTTCGAGGTAGGCATCTGCTAGCTGGTTGGTGGGATCAGACACAAAGGAGTAGCCTGAAGTTGTCGTGGCCATCCTATCCCGAATAGAGGTCATATCAATATCAGGAGGCTCCCAGTCGTACATGAGCCGAGCGGAGAGAGCGGTAGCTGACTGAAGCACACCTCGAGCCATGCTACGGAAGTTCCCCATCGATAGCTGTTGATTCCCATCCCAAGACAGGACTTCGCCGTCCTCGCTCCAATGGAAATAGAATACTGCGCCCTGGGACCGTCGAAGAGCAGAGCCATATGACAACAGGCTTAGGAATTCGCCCATAACTGACAAAGTCCCATCGCACATGTATCGACGTCGGGCAGCCAAAAGTCTTGTCAACTGCCCATAGCGAGGTCTTCGGGGAATGCCGATATAACCATGCGAGAACTGAGGCAGTACGGCTTCGAGGAAGATCAGTCGCGAGCAATAGATAAATCGTGATAATATCGGAGTAAACCGGTGAGGCATGAGATATTCGTCACCGTTGGGAGCCGATAACCCACGGACTGCACTGAAGTATACGAGCATCGTCGAGCCTGCAAGGCCATCCTCGAATTCTTCGCAAAGTGCAAAGTAGCAGAACCGGAGCAGAAGATCAACTGCCCGATTGCCGTGTTGCCTCTGCTGGGTAGCACCTGATGACCACGTTGAGGTTGAATCTGTGTCTGACTGGGCGCCTTCCTCCTCACCCGGGGACTCATACTCTTCACCATATTCCAGTTCGTCCTCCTCAAGTGGATCTTGATCCTCGTCTTCGTCCTCATATTCATACTCCTCGTCATCGTCCTCTTCGCCTTCATATTCGTCATCCCCATCAATCACGCTCACTCTATCATCATTAGCATCCTCGGTCTTCCAGATATCATCCCCCCAGAGGTCTAACAGGGCTCTGAGTTGGCGTCGACCAAGACGTCGACCCATGATAGTCTTGGCCGTCGCGGGCAAAATGCGGGATAGACGCAGCCAAAAGCAGACAAAGCGTTTCAACTCTTTCCGATAAAGCTTCTCCGAAGATAGCCTAGAAACCAGCTCAAAGGGTGCCTTGTAAGGTTGGTCTGGAAACCTGCTGCGGAGCCACCTCCTTAAGCACACGTCAGTGCTTCTGGCGGTCTCGCCGCACTGGTCCAGTAGTCGATCTATTGCCTGTATCATAGAAGCCAGCTTCCGCTCCTCACTCGTTGGACTCTTTATGAGTTGCCCGTCGACGATACCAAGAGACAAGGGCCGAGCAGGCTCGCGAGGGGGCAGCGCGGTTAAAGAGACGAGGACATCACGCCGAGCGTCCTCAAACAGCTTTGGCCAGCCAGTGCGACGCAGCCAGTTCGTCAGCAGAATCGAGGGCACAGATTCAGTTGCTCTCTGTAGCTTGAAGCGGTGATTCTCCTCACCTTCTAGCCTGGCACGCTCCTGCGCAAATAAATCCTCTGCAAAATGCCTAACAACATCGGGGCTAGCTTGCAGGAGAACATTGGTATTGTGACGTTTAATCTCGAGCGGATCGTCTGTGACCACAATCCAGGACCTCTTGATGTCGCTGACGGCCCAGCTTTGGAAGGAAATGCCCTGACGAATATGGTCGTGGAGCCAGTGGCGTGTCTGTTGCCGACCTACACGCTCAACCTTATCCTCGTGCTCCTTTCTCACATGGTCGGCGAGTACCTTCTCACTCACTGAGCGGAGGCCGCAGTGCTTGCATGCCGAGCCACGCTGCAGGGCAAGATGCGGGTGAGGCCTGGAGCCGTCGACGCGTAGGGGAAGCAACGCAGGATCCTGTAGCCGCAAGGAACGGATAAACTGATTAAGCCCCCAGCGTTCTTTCTTAGAGATATCGTGTTTCTCCCTAAGATGTCTTGAGACGCGGTCGCTCTGGGGGTTAAGGGCAAACCCGCATCTGGTACAGAGGATGGCGTGCTCTGGCTCATTGAAGTGTAGGCCAAGCTTCTCCAACCACCGAAGCTCCTTGCGTGATATGTCCATCATAGGGCAGGTAAGTAGGAAGGTAGAAATGCTATTTCTAGGAGAAGAGAGTGTGATGAGAGCTTTTAGTGACCTTTGTTGGTAGTCAAATGATGATGGTGGGAGTTACGCGTCTGGCATCTTGCTAGCCCCTTGGAAACGGGGCGCGTTTCTGCTAGTGCGAGAAACGGGGCCCGTTTCCAGGGGCAAAATGGAAGAACGAAGCTGCTAAAACGTGATTGGCTCAGAAGTGGAAACGGGCCCCGTTTCCACTCTACATTCCTGAGTAGGCGTATTCTCTATAGCGATCTAATTTCTTAGGCAAGGCTAGGCAATAAAGGCTATAAGAATAATAAAATAAATAAGGCATGATTTTAAATTCAAAATAGTTAATAGTATCGCCTAGTCTAATAGTAGCTAGCTATTTCTTAGAAAGGATAAGATAGCTAGATATATTAGTAAAAGAATTTTTATAAGTCAAAGATTAGTATACGCACGCAAAGTAATCAAGGTCGTAGATATGGCCTTAAGGATAAGACCAACGGAGGGGAGATATTATATCACGGCTCGGGAAGCCTCCCGGCCACGTAATAGGAAGGATCTGCCCTACCCCACTAATCACAAACGGATCAAATAGATCGCGCTCTACAGGCTATAATCCCCCTAATCCATTAAATAAGATCATGACGGCTTGGACCCTATAAGCTATAATCTATTATAATCCGCCTTATCACATAGAGTATATAATATATACTTATTATACTTCCTTATATAATAGCTACCTTAGCTATTAACATAACTTAGTTATACTTAATACCCTTAAGCATATTACTAGACGTAATAACGCCTTTATTTAAACCACGCGACTATCCCCACTGCTAATATAAACCCAATACGATCGGTTTATCCCTTAGATTCAACCACACCGTCACACTAACCATAACCCTAAGCGAATAAACCATCCTAATAAAAATTCAATCAAAATAGCTTTAAAAATTCATAACTAATTCTAGAAAAATACTATAAAGAAAAGGACTTTATTTTTAAAGTCCCCATAGCTTAAAGTTATATATACCTTCTCTTTATAACCCTAACCCTATTAGAACCCTGTTTTTAAGAAAATATCGGCTAGTCAGAAAAAAAACCATTAGATACCCTATAGTCTACTAGTATTAAAAATTTCCCCCGTAGTAAAAAAACATCGATAGCTTAGCTAACGTTTTTCATAGGTAATAGGGCTCTCTTTCTTCGTCGCGCTCGTAAATGCTCGATGGCCTATAACTTTTTAGATAGTTTTTTCTACGATCTTACGCTCTCGTTAGGGCTAGAGTTCTCCTATTTCCTACGTTGCTTTATTATGTTTTTATATTTGCTTTATTTAACCCCCCGTGAATACGCCTAGAGTATAATTGATTAGTCAGTGAATCATAGCTAGTAACAAAAGAGATAAGGTAGCTTACAATCAAAGCTTGGGATTCAAAGGATCCCGAGTGAGAGAGAGGCTGTCATAAATATTCAGATCCTTTCTCCATCGTCTATTAGATAAGACTATGAATGTAATTTGTCAATTGAGTAGTCCTATTCCCTTTGTTCTTTTCCCCCCTTCCCCCCGGGGGGGAATCCCACTGTACCGGATCAACGTTGTAGCGGTTCGGCTGGGTCTCTTATCTTATCATTAAAGTGGAGATAATAGGGGTTTTGCAACATAAACTGATCCTGATTGGCTTGCAGAGATTTAACAGGGATTCCGTCTGCCCCATAGCCTGACCGGGGTATAACTTAGACTTACCCTATATATTCATATTATTGACTTAAATAAAGAATAAAAGGTTTACTAAAGATATATAAATATTAAATTTATTTTCGTTAAATTTATTAACTTTTTCTCTATTAATTAATATGCTTTTTACTTTATGCGTCGTTATAGCGGATTTTTGGTTAATTTAATCGCATTTCTTACCGTTTCGGAACATACGTGCTAACCCGCAACCCGAAGCCCAACTTTGATTTGAGGAGCAAGAACTCAATGACAAGATGCACTGAGTCGTGCAGCTCTTTATACACAAATGAAAGCGTTGCCTGTTCTAGGCAGTAGCAGCTGCCCTGCAGGCAGCTGCACTAGTGGGGCCAGGACTTGATTTGCGACACATGTCATATGTATTTGATTCTCTGAACAACCCGTCACTCCCTGACCCCATGATCTCCATATGATCACAATGAGATATCAGACCTTGAGCTCTTTTGGTCAAGATCTCTCGCAGAGACCAAATGTATCTCATCGTTATCCCCGCTCTCAACAGCATATGTCCTCTGAATGGTGATTCCACCGGCTTCATTCCGCCGTTGAGAGGTTTCGACGTATGTGTCTCTCTGCACATCTGATCCCAACACCCTCCTCCTGATGTTCGACAGCTCAGTCTCATCTCTCCCTGCCTGACTAGAGTAGTATTTCTGGGATGTACCCAAAATCCTTGGGAATAGTCGGCCGAGAAGGAATCTTAGAGATGGTAAACAGGCGCAGATAATTCCGACGTTTATCTCGATGCCAGACCATATAGTGATGCCAACAAAATCCCGCGTGGGGTTAGGAATGTTGAGTGCGAATTTGATCAGGGAGTGTAGACGAAGGATACTCATGATTGTGACACTAGAACGAGGTTAGATTGCTTCTGGGTATACTGAACAGCGAGAACCTACAAAGTCCCAAGGCAAAACATAATACCAACTCCAACCTTCTTTTTCCAAGACAAGTTCAGAGACCTGAGCTGTGATAAAGGGATTATTAACATCCAGATGTCGGTGGCAATACTCAGAGCTGCATAGCTCCAAGCCGTGGCATTCGCATCGGTGCAATGCCCCTGATGCTCACCATCCCATCCATTCCAGAAGTAGCTAATAGGCCGACATTGGAAAGCAATAGCAAGACAAAACGCAATGCCAAATAGGGCAGTAAATATAATAGTGCCCCATAAGATCCGGCGGACAAGTTGAGCCGGGAAGATGCGAAGATAGAAGAAAAGCAGTGAAAGCTTAAGCATGGTAATCGCAGCAGTGTAGGCGAGGCTAGCAGCATATATATATATGCCGAAAGCAGTAATATCAGACGGGGATACCGTCCATATGTCTCGACCGAGCCCGTGGCCTACGACGCCACAGACTACAAGGAGCATCTGTACAAAAGACAGCAGGTAGCTGACGAGGATGGACCAGTCATCGAGCCAAATCGGAATGCCCCAGAAGGGCTTGACAGAGAATCTCTCGATAATGAAAAGCGTAGAGATGACTGCAAGTGTGATAAAATGTGCAACACACGCCCGTGACTTCTCGTGGATGGGAGCGCCGCAGCCGGTCCTTGTTAAATTGGTGGCAACTTGATGGGCGTTAGTGAGCAAAAGACGCAATAATTTGGACAACACATACCAAGAGATTCCTTGACAGTGCAGCTCTCCATAACACAGCCCGCCACCTTACTCTGGACGGCTTTATTGGAGCAGAGACAAGTTTCGTCGATGCTCAGGCATGGTGAGTCGGCGATGGCAGTAGCAATGCACTTGGACTGGAGGAGCAGATATTGATCAAAGGTTAGATGAGTTGTCTTCGCTCGAGGAGCGTGGAATCAACAAACTTACGGCGCAATCAGGCATCTCAGCAGGCGCAGAAGGTGATGTCGCCACGGTCCCTGGAAGTGCCAGGAGGGAGAACCACAGGAACAGTGGCCAAAGGACTTTCATTTCGAGTATTCGAAGCGGCCAACTGCTGCTGTTGACGGTCGCGATGACTAGGAGGACAGAGAGTGATATTCATCATCCGCTTGCGCAGATTGCTGTACTGATTAAATATGGTTATGGGAACTTGGCACGATCAGGGCACCAGCAACACAAATATATAATACAGTACAACACAGGAATTTTCCCCTCACCCACAGACCATAAAGCTAGAGATTACAGCATTTGTGTGGCGTGTGCCACGTCAGGGCCCATGAGTCGAAGGTTACAAATGAGAGTCCGGACGAGTGAATGCTGCGTTAAATAAGCTCTGGCAGTGAGACGGAAAGCTCCGGGGGGATGAGAAGGGATCTCGGCTATACAGTATCGAGTTAGTATCTCCTCGAGTGCGGAGCGGCTTGTGGAGCCTGGCTAAGCAAATAGCCGGAAAGAAGCTAGTAAGAAGTACTTATATCAGAGTGGTCTTCAGTCCTAGCTATATGTACTTCTTAACTTGCAGTGACTGGGGTCCAGCCCCACAAGCCGCTCCGCGCTCGAAGAGATACTGGACTTAAGACTTAGACCATGGCACAAGTTAAGCTGGGCGACCGTCCTAAGACCAAGTGGATGGCCACCATTCCCGTAACCCGGCTAGGATCAAGCCAATTTGACTGTGTTCTAAATATTCGAGGAGGACAAGCAGCGTAGCATAGGTACAAGCAAGTCCTGTTACCACAACCAAGACTCGACTGTGACAGTATCGTCCTCACCCCTGGCATTTAGCATTGTGTCTTGCAATGAGTAGAAGGAATAAGAATAGGTTATGCAAGGCCTTATCCCAAACAATGACAAGTAATAACAGGGTGATGGAGGAAAGTTGCTGGAAAGTGATGTATCATGTGACACGGGTACGATTAGGGGGTATATTCCAGCCAGGGCGGGGTCTCTGACTCGATAGTTGGAGCAATGTAACCTAACTTTAAATAAAAAGGTGTCAACAATTGCGGATCCCACCGTAACGACCCATCGCCAGACCAACCAGAGGCATGCTCAGACAACACTTCCGGTGGCGACGCCGCGCAGGCCTCGGCCGGGACCGATCCAGCTGCACCAGCAATTAAATGGCTGGAGTCGAGACCAAGCAAGCCGAAACCCTAAATTCTACTAACGTGACTATTTCGTGTTATGTATCGCCTTGAGTGCGTTAAGGCTACAGCCGGTTACTCGACCCACATGACCTTAGTCGCGGCGTGGGTACGGGAGGGGTACGGCATAGTGCTCCATTAAATTATTTCCACCTAAAATACGGAGGTCGATTTCAAAAGTTTTGTCCTAGAGCTATTAGCGCCAAGGCCGCTCATCCCTGTCGGTACCTGAGGTACTTTGATATAAATCTCTTCAGTTATTCACTCCTTGAAGCTATAGGGCGATTATTGAAGCCCAGGGGGAAATCTGGTGAAGCCTAGCGGACCGCATTCTTGGAAGATAGGGGCTTCAAAAGCAAAGAGAGAGGGTCATAAGTACCGATGTAACTGGGCGCTTAGAAAACCTCCTCTGATTGGCTGATGCATTTATGTGGCTTGGTGGCCAGGACAAGACTTTTGAAATCGTCCTCCGTACCACAGGAATCGTTCCCTACCACTCCTTCATTATTGCCACAGGGGCATCATCGCGGCTACTATACACGTCAAAGCGCACATACTAAAGAGCGACAGTTTAATCAGATAGTTAATCCACCTTTTACAGGGGACCCCAACTTGCCTGCCCTTAGTGAGGAGGATCAGGCCCTCCTCTCCATGGACCGTTGCAGAGCCTAACCCTTGAGCTGGTCCGTGCTGCGGCAAGTGCCGCTCGATCCGGGGCTGCATATCTGCACCCCACTGCCTCCGTGGGGCCAGACGAGGTCCCTGAGCCAATAGTGGTGCCTCTGCAGGCCCATTCTTCATTTGGTGGATAGGTGTCGCATATCACCACGAGGTCCGTGCGACTGGATATGAAACGCGGCCCGTACTTTGGGGTCGTGTATCCGGTTTCACATCCAGCTTATCGCATCAAGGATTCTAATCCTAACGATATAAGCTTAAATAGCTATGCCCGAACACATGGCTGTTCAATTTCCTTTGCTCTTCAGATAATTCTCATAAATTGACTGGTGCCATCAATGATCCCTGTGGAGCCGATTGTCTGACATAGTGCTATTTCATTCCAGTCTAAACGAGCGTAATCTTCCGTTGGTTTCGCGGAATCGGGTCCCTTCCATTTTCGTCTTCCTGTGGCTTAGTTTGAAAGTATCCGACCCTGCGAAATGATCCCTCACCAGTGTGCTTGACGATGAGCCCTTCAGTGCTAGTGAAACTTATCCGTCTAACTTCCAAACCATATAACCTTTCCTCGTATGGCACATATCTCAGGTCCCACTTGACGTCGATGGTGGCAACAGTCCGTGAACCATCAAGCACAACCCATTTTCGGCTAGTCCTTGACCAGCCAATTGCAAGCAAAGCTCCAATAACTGACAAGCTTCCCTCTTTAACCGTACCATATTCGACCGTCGTCGCAAGTGTGACGCGATAATTCTCCACGCGCAACAAAACAGGATCAGAAAATTCTGCGGGTAGTAATTCTGGCCAGCAGACGCGACCGCGGGCGAGATGCCAAGACCATGTTGGCGACAGTTTCTCGTCGGGTGGAAGATCAGGGCAGGTTTCTTCACCGTGACCAGCCTCAACGTGCCATAGTAGCATAAAAGGCATGCCCTGTCTCCATAGTCCAGCCATGTACTGATGGGGCTTTGCACCCAGCCGTTCCGCGTACTCTTCTGCCAGAGCCGCAATGGCTGGTAGTCGGTCTTTAGGGTCCGTGATAAATCGAGCGGTAAACCGTGAAACCTCGCACTGCCAATCATACAGCGCTTGCACGTCCTCTACACTTGAGTCAAATTCGATTTCGTCCTCCTCGAGGGATCCTCCGTCCATCCTGTAACCGTGCGAACATTTCCAAATCATTTGTGAGCTGCCGAATCTCAGGAGTCGCGGTGAGAGCTTGTGCTCCTGCATTGTCCACGCGCGCGAGTCAATCGGTTCCGGCTTGACACGTCTCATGTCTCCTTCGCAGCAAAACACAGTTTGCGAGGTTGGGTGCTTCTCGTGGCCTATGTTGCGCCAAGGAATTGCGTATATGTTGCCGTAGCAGGACGCAAGATCTCGTTCGTGAATAAATCCTTCATTGCTTCCAGAGGCTCTGGCTGCCGAGATAGTGACAGTGGCGTTCCTGTAGATCTGCCACATTTTCGATATCTCTGAGCTCTTCTCGTCGAGATCATCCTGAATGATGCAAAGAGAATCCACCCATAGGTATTCCAATCCCAGAGCTTGAGTCACCTCAATCGAGTCCTGTAAAGTCTTTGATAGTCGGGCGATTAAAAAGCCTTCTCCCTGCTCAGCCAGGCTAGCTTGGGTTGTTTCGACGTCGTTCCTCGCGGTTTTGCCCCAGCAGTAGCTCAAGGCCGCGTAGGGTCTAGTCGGTTTGTTGCTCGTTTCCTCGATGCGGGCTCTTCCGGAACTATGATGTCCTACGTAAATGAGTCGCTTGGGTTTAGGTCTGACGTCATGGGAGTCAAGTTCGATGTTGCATTCGTTGTGAGATTTCTGACAATCCCGTAACCAGGACCGTGCCATGTCCAGGCTAGCTCTGGGCTGTAATGGTTGATTTCGGATATATCTACTTGGTTCCCCATCTGAAAACAGTCAGCCCCTCAATATTGAAAGTAAGAACTCAGTGGTATTTACTGGGACTTGCAAAAAGTGTCATTCGTTGTGACAGCCCAATTTCGCTGCCATCATCCGTTTCCCACTGGAATTCCAAGTATGATAGGCCATCGATCCTCCAATTAAGTCGAAGTATCCAATAGGCTAATTGTTTGGGCTCACATAATGGATTGAGAGGATAAAATACTTGAAGTCGTCCATTGATCGAAGAGCTACAAAGCTCCCTGAGGAATCCAGTGACTGGATAGATGTCATTCCTTTCAGTCTGATAGAGATTCTGGAGTTGTGTGCAGAAAAACAAACAACCGCTGTTGGAAAATTCGCACACTTGTTGGAGAGAGAATTTAAACCAGGAGTCGAGGTAACTTCCACTTTCTCGTTGCTCGGGACTGAAAACAAGCTTGCGACAGGATCGACAAGAATGAGGCTTAACGCCTCCAGGAAGACGCCGTGGCTGTTGACCATCCATAGAGAAGTGGCGACACTTTTTTGTTTGTCTAACTCTGGGGGAAGCATCAGTTTTGGAAATGGTGGAGTTGGGCTTTTCAGGTAGCAATGCAGATACATACCTTGTCGCCACACGATATTTGCCAGCTTTTCCAGCTTGGCTGCCTCACCTCTCCGATCTTTTACCGGCAGCAACTCGTCCTATCAACGGCATTGAGCGGTCCCCCAACTTAGGGCCGATCAGCATTTCATTGCCGTTTTTCCTCTGAGCAGAACCATGACAGTTTTTGTCTGGCCGCTGTCTGGTCACAGCGAGCCATTAGGCAAAACCCGGCTAAATCTTAGGAGCAGAAAGTTGACAAAAAAAAATAATCACTGTGCCTCAACTCTATTTAATTATGTCTTGCAATATCGAAAAAGCCATTTTCCCCTTATTCCTGCCCTCGTTGTGATGTTATCACACACGCAAGTTGTCAACCTCGTCGTCGCTCTGTCGTCCGGTGGCCAATCAGAATTTCGCGGTCAAAACTAAACTGCTGTACCTTCTGTGCCAATAACCACTGATGTAAACATTGTCTGGGTAAGTCTCCAGGAGTTCTTTAAACCTGACGCAAACCGCCGAATGCTCAATCAATCGGACGAGCAGGCCTGACTCGGGCTGATGGGTACTGCTTTTTCACCTCCCCTCTGTCTTGGGGCTTGCTATAGCAGATCAGCCACGGAAAAAGTTGACCTTGGCTAGCTAATCCCACGAGTGCCCAGAAAGCTGCAACGCATACCTCGCCCCACCTTAACCACATAATAGCCTTAGTATAAGCGGGGTACGAAAAGTTTAATTAATAAAGCTATCACAGCTAAAATCACATATAAATTATTTTAAACTAAATAATAGCTACGCTCTTAATTCCACGAGAGGCATAAGCCCTTAATGTGACGATCGTAGGATTCCCAAGGGATAAACCGGTCGTACTGGTTTATGTTGGCACTGGATTATGTTGCGTAGTCTTGAACGGGTGATGTAAGTCACGTCTGGTAATGTGCTCAAAGGTATTGAGTGTAACCAAGTTGTATTGATAGCTGAGGTAGCTACTACATAAGAAAGTGCAATGAGTGTGTTCTATATACTTTGGGTGTCGGTTGTGATCACTCCGCCCATTGACCCTGATCATGGTGATCGTGTAAGTGATCAGGGTGACCAGTGAGGTGATCACCGTGATCATTTGGTGTCGAGGGTGATCATTTGCTTGATTGGTGAGGAATTGTGGGGTCCCGCTTGTGCACGTGACGGGTGCATGTCAGGTCGTGACACTTAATGCCTATAATAATAAGAGCTTTATTAAGGAAGATCATAGCTATTAAATGCACCCTAATAACCCGACCTAGGTGGCTATTTTTCTAGCCGATAAGGCCCGCGGCACTAACTTTAAACCCTTCCCCGTAGAGATATATAACTTCTATATTAATATACCGCCGCTATCGCCGCTATAGCTATTCTAGCTTTTCCTTTCTATTTCCCTCGTTAAGAGATAAGTCTAATATACTTAAAGCTAGCTTCTTTAGCTTAAGGAAAATAAAGTTATTAATAGCTAGAATCACTTAATAATAAAGAACATAAGGCTACGAGCTTAATAAGGGACCTCTATTATAGAAGTATATATATAGCTTAGAGTGCTAATTTATATAGGTTTATATAAGGAAAGGATTATTAAGAGCTATTAGAGTACTTTAAAGCTGGGGGAATAATGCCTTTTATACTTAATTATTAAGTTTTTACCTTATTAGAAGTTTTAGATCCTTTATTACTACCTTTACCCTTTTAACTATACTAAGATTAATAAGACTAAGCCTCTTCTAAAGGTATTCTAAGCCTATAATAAGTAATTTAATTATATATAAGCTATATTAGCAGAGATCTTTATCCCGGGCTTTTATCTCGCTATAAATAAGTATATAGTCCGCTTTATAGATAGGTCTAATAAGATAATAATTATTAAAGGCAAGCCTATTCCTCGAGGCTTTAAGATCTAGGTTATTATATAGTATAGGTTTTTTATCTATTAGTTCTAGTATATCACGGGCATATAATATAGCGCCATTGGTATTAAACTTTCTCCCGCAAAGCGCCGCCGCATGCAAGGATCATAAGAGACATAAGGAGGCTCCTTAGATAAGCCTATCGCCTTAAACTCGACTTAAAGCATCGTCGTAGCTCTAGTAAATACACTACTAAAAGCAATATACTACGTCTTTATTAATAATCTCTTCTTATTATTAGATCTCTTCCGTAGCCTCCGCATATATAGCTATAAAGCCATAGGCATAGCTTAAGCTAATAGCGGTATTAATAAGGAGCTTATTTACGATCTTAGAGGCGATAAAAGGCTAAGTACTAGCTATGACTTTAATTAGGTTAAGGTAATCCCTATAGCTAATAATTAGGTATTACGCTAAGATGCTTTTATATATAAATCTCACTAATTTATCTTCCCTTTATCTCATAAGGTTAACTAAGTCGCTTAGAAAGATAATCGCCTTATCTTATTCTTTATAACTATCTTTTCTAGCGAGGAGCATATTAAATGCCATAGGAAAAAGCCCTCCTCTAATAAGCCTAAGGCCTATTAGATCCGCCGCTTCTTTAGCGATAAAGCTATTAAGGATATCTCTAACCCTATTATTACCACTAAATATAATAATAAGATATATTATATTAATTAGGGTAATTAATTAAGGTTATATTATGCATATAATTATCCCTTATGCCGCGGCCCTTAGTAAGCTCTTTGCTAGACCTTTTTGCTTAATATTATACTTATTAATAGCTATATTATTTAATTATAGGGTCCTAAGCTAAATTAGAAGCGATTTATAACTTAGAGAGAGTAGCGAGAATATATTTATAATAAGTTATTTAATGCCTATAGCTAGGAAAGCTAGTCGCGCTAATATTATAGAGTAGGCAATAAGTATAACATACTTAATAAGCAAGCATCGCAAATAAGCAAGCATCGCACTTTTCCCTCTTATATCTAACTTTCTATATAATTAATTAATTCCTAACTACTAAATATATTAGACTTAAATATTAAGGCTAAAACCCTTCTTACCCTTTAGGCCCTTTAAAATAACCCTAAGCTAAGTATCTAATACGCTATAGGGACCTATAGGGTCTCTAATTATAGGCTATATTAATAATAGAATAGTATTTAAGCTTAACTTAGTATTATCCCAAATTTATATAAGCTATCTAATCTAGAAGAATAGATCCTTATTTATTTTATTCTTAACTTAGATCTATAAGGATTTCCCCCCTAGCTATATAATATTAAAGATATAACTAATTAATTACTTATTAACCGCGATATATTACTAATTAATATATATTAGGCTTATAATTTTATTAAGTAATACGTAGACCTTAAGATATATTTCTTTCGGAAATATAACTACTAGAGAGCTAAATATAAAGATCTAATTATTATTTATAATTAATTTATATTTATAGCGAATATAATCGCGAAGTATAATATCTAATTAAATAATTTCTATAACTTTAATAAGATTAGCTTTCTTATAGGTATAATTATATGTAGAATAGTTATTATAGGTTTAGAAAGGTATTTAAAGCTAAAATTAATATAACTTAGAAACTAGGAATAGATTATAATTATTTAAGTAATTAATATAAGAGGCTAGGTAATCTAGTTATTTATTATTAGCATAGGCTAATATTACCTTATTAATTAGTACTAAGAAAGTAACCTCCTAGGCGATTAGGCTATTATAATAACCTAAAATAGCTAGACTAATAATAAAACTAGTCTTAAGTAGCTAAAGCACTTTAATTAATATATAGCTAAGCGATTAAATAATTAATATTATCTCTTAATCCTTAATAGCTATAAAAGTTATTATTTTATTAAATTTAAGAGATATTATAAGGAAAAGAAAATTATTTAGCTTTATATATTACTTTATTCTTCTTATTTATTTTAGCCCCTTAATATTAAGTACTTTAGTATATTAAAGAAAGCTTATAATTAAGAAATAAAATATCTAATTAAATACTTTATTACCTATATTTTAAAGACTAAGTTCTTTCTAGCCTTCTATATAATATATAAGGCTATTATAATAAAAAGAAATATTAAGGGGGCTTTTAAAAGAGCTAGCTTTATTTCCCTTAACCTAGAAAGTATAATCTTAAAGCTTAATATTTAGCTATAGATACTAATATTAGTTAAGGAGGTAACTAAATTATTAACCCCTTGGGCTTTAAGGGCCTTAAAGACTATAATTAAGGCTAGATCTTAGTCTAAATACCTTAAAAGATAGATTAAAAGGTATTAAAATAGCTCGCCGGAATTAATCTTAGAGGCTCTATAGTCTCTTATAAAAGGGATAAAGGCTATTATATATTAAGTTACCTTATTAATAGCTAAGGTTAAAGACCTTTAAGAGATAAATAAGATATTAAGTTAGCGCTAAAGGGCAAAAAAGACTAGACTATAGAAAAGAGGGGTTATAATAATAAAAAAGAAGAGATAAGTAATTAATTAAATAGATATAAATGCATAGGTAGTAGCTAAATCGTCGAGGAGTAGTAATCGAGGAAGGTTAATTAGACTAGGTATTTAGCGCTATAGTATTTATAGTAAGCCTAGGTATAATATAAAGACCTATTAAGTAGTAATTAAGATATCTAGGGAAGAGTATAGTAAGTAGTTTTAATTAATTAAATAATTTTTAGTGCTTTTATTGCGATTTCTTAAGAAAAGGTCAAGAAAAATACGATGCTTACTTATTTGTGATACTAGCTTATTAAGTATGTTAACCTTTAAAGCCCTAATTTATAATATAATTATATTAATTAAGAGATTAATTATATTAATTATAAGGTAAATTCGAATTACCTAGCTTATTAGGGCTTTTAGTAGGAGTAAATAAGGTTAAAAGGTAAGAAAATTAATCCTCTTAAGGAGCTTAATAGTAACTATTAACAGCGGAAGTAGACTCGCTATAGCTACTACTTATACAATATCGCGATTTATAATAGCTAAAATTATTAGGACTTCTATTACTATATAATTTAGGTGCGGTATTAAGTACCTTTTATTTAATGCATTTTAATTAGCCCTGACCCCTCGTCGTGACCTAGTTATAGCTTTCTAGGCAGTCATAGGATAATATCAGATATTAAGGTAAAAAAGGTTATTTTTTATTTTTTTCTTAATTAAAGGACCTTTTAGGACCTTATACCTTTAAGTTATCCTTCTAAGACTTAAGTCTTAGGAGTCTTAGATAAAAGTCTTATATTAAATGTTTAGGACTTAAAAGCTCTATGAGGGAATTATCTATTCTATCTAATCATTTTTAATATACCCCCTTAGGCTCAATATGTTCCGATTGAGCCTGCATTTCCTAGGCAGTCTTCCATCTTCTCAAGTATTGCTTCTATTCCTTCTTGTTCCCGGCACTGCTGCTGTCTTTCCTGAATATCTTCCAATCCAAGTTGATAGAGGAAGCGGTTCCATTTTCCTGCTGGCAGGGCCTTCATCAATCCATCTGCGACCATGTCTATTGATTTGGTGTAGTTGATATGAATTTTTCCTTCTTGGACCTCTTGTCTTAGCCAGTGGTTGTGGATATCTACGTGCCTCAGCTTGGTCTTCAAGGTAGCGACTTCGGCGGTCACCAAGTTGATGGTTTAGGTGTTGTCGCAGTCAATACGGATAGTTGGATCATTCAGTTGGACTGTGAGTTCTTTCAACAGCCGGCTCACATAGAGAGATTCCTTAGCAGCCTGCGCCAGGGCTAGGAGCTCTGCCTCTGTTGTGGATGTTGTGACTGTGTCTTGCTTGCTGGCTCTCTAGCTAATCAGCCCGTCGAATAGTCGGATAGTGTACGCTTGGGAGCTCTTCCGATCAAGGGTGTTGTCGGCAAACGAGGCATCACTAGCCACCGTAAGACCTCTGGGTCCTCCGAATCGTAGAGCTCGGTGCTTTGTGTGCGTGAGGTAGTGTATAACGCGATCGGCGGCGTCTTAGTGTTCTTAGCCGGGGTTGATAAGGAATCGTGCCAGCCTGGAGGCGGCAAATGCTACATCAGGCCGGGTGTTGACGGCGATATAGAGGATCGAGCCGACTTTGCGCTGGTATCTTTGGATGTCTGCTGGGGCTGCTAGTCCTGTTCGAGGTCGTAGCTCTGTTTGAGTCATGGGCACTATAGATGTCCCCTTGTTAGCTAGATTCGCAATTTTGTCAATGTAGGCTGTTTGGGATAGCCAAATCTTCCTTGCAGGTTGGTCCCGTATGACCTCCAGTCCTAGGAACCATTACACGGGATCTCCGCCTGTTAGCTTGTATTTGGCTCCAAGTTATCTGGCCAGCTCATCGGCTTTGTCTTTTCGTGACTTCCTGTAAGCGATGATGACATCATCGACGTAAAAGAAGAAGAGGACTCCTCCATTTTTGAAGCAGCAGGGTTCATGAGGAATCTGTGTGTAGCCCATCTCTAGGAGGGTCTTGGACAGTTCCTTCTGCCATAGCATGGGAGAGACTCGTAGTCCATACAGAGCCTTGTTGAGCTTCAGGATTGTTGCTGCCTTCTTATACCCTGGGGGCATTTGCATGAAGATATCTTGGTCGACCGGGGCGTTTACGAATGCGTTGACCACGTCGTATTGGACCATCTCCAGGTCAAATTTAGCCGCAATGGCGATCAGGGTCCGGAAGGACCTTCCGGCTAGGGTGGCTGCATACGTCTCTTACAACCTGCCCTTAGCCTATTGGTCTCCTCTGACCACTAGTCGTGCCTTGCACTTCTGGAATCGACCGTGTTTGTCGAACTTGTAGACGTATACCCACCTGCAGCCAAGGATCTGCTGACCAAAGGCTCTAGGGTCTTTTGTTCGAATCTCAGTCCAGGACCTCATTTCCTCGTGACTCTGAAGGTGGCTTTCCTCGGCCCTCTGAAAGAGCATTCCAAAAGGGTGGTCCTTTAGGTCTTCATGTTTCGTCGGGAGTGGCGGCAGGGAATTTCGATGCATCTTCACCCCCCGCCGGAGTTTCCGTTCGATTGAGGTCTGGAGAGGGTTCTTAGTTCCCGCTAGGAAGGTTGCTTGCCATGTGACTGTTTTGTTCCCTTCGTCTGACCACGCCTTGGAGCTGTGGGCCAGTAGGGCTAATAGTGGTGTGACCGGAGGCGTTGGAAGAATATCCGAGTCTTCTGGCTGTTGGAGGCTGTCTTCCATGGTGGCTGCCATCGTGCAATCCTTAGTCTCGTCTGTGATCGGGCTGCTCTCGTCTGCCAGGTTTCTTGTTGGAAGGGCGACTTCGATGCTGTCTTCAACCTGTTCGGCTTGTTCGTTATCGTCTTGTTCCGGCAGAGAGGATGCTTGCGCGAGCTTGGCAATTTCCTCTAGATCGGCTTCGAGCAGTTCGTCCTTGAAACTTTTCCAATCTCCGTTGCAGCCTTCGTCTTCATTGAATATAACGTCTCGCGTGTTAACTATCCGGTTAATCGTGGGGATCCAGGTCCTATAAATGTTGGAGGATCTATATCCCACTAGGAAGCCGATCCAGCCTTTTGGTTTAAGCCGCATCTTGCGATTGACCTTCTGCTGTGCATCTGAGGTCATTGCATAGGCCTTGCAGCCAAAAGCTCGCAGCTGTGTTTGATCCGGTTTCTTCTTCGGCTGTGGGATCCCCGTTGCCTTGGCTGATGCTGTGTGGAGTTGATCATATGGCGTTTTCCAGCTTGACTTGGAGTTCGGCGTTCGGTTGTATAGATAAACGGCCGTTCTTCCAATTTCTGGCCATAGCTGATGAGGAAGCCTTGCGCCTGTCCGCATAGCCCTTTCCTTGTCCTTGATTACACCCCCTGAGCGTTCGGCACCTCCGTTTTGGGCTTGTGTGTATGGGGCCGAAGGCTCGATGATGATGGCCCTGTTCCTCAGGAAGTCTCCGATCTTCGGCTTGATCTCCGTGATCTCATTATCGCATTCGACGACTTTGACATGGAGGCCGTATTGTACTTCCATGTGATCTAGGAAGGAGTTGAAAGCGGTGATGATAGCCTCTGTCGTCCGGGCCGTGAGGTAGTAATCCCAGATGTAACCCGTGGCTCGGCAGGTTAGCAACATCTGCGAGGTGTAGCCGCCTATGCCTTGTTGGTAGTCATAGAAGTCAACAGCGATACGTTCGCCGGCCTTCTGATCGGGTTATCTCGGGGCTCGTCTGATTTGTCTCTTGACTTTCGACATGCCACAGGCATCGCATTCAACAGTGGTTGGTCCCCGTATTCGCACCCCCTGAGAGGCCGAGACCAAGTGTTCGAGAGCTTGTGGCCCTGGATGCCCTAGGCGAATATGCCAGCGGATAGCGTCTCCCGTCAAAGGGGGCCTCTTTGTATAAGAGCTAAATCTATGGGCCGTGAAAGCTGCTTTGGGGGAGTTTCCTGGTTGGTATTCGATGACATACTGGCCGTACTGGTCATGTATCGTGCATGCGATCGTTTGGTCGAGCTGTCGGAGGGTTGTTGGGTCGTGTCTATTGTCCCAATAGATGCCCTTCCTTCGTAGCTAACGTAGGGAGACCAGGGTGGTAAGGAGCCGAGGGCAGTAGGCCACATCCTCAAGCATTAGGAATCGTGTTCCCGAAAGCCTGAGTGCCATTGTTCCGTAGCCTAAGATAGGCAGTTTTCGGTCGCCAGCCCGGATGAAGTCTCCTGGCATCGCCGGTTCTAGTCCCGCTAGTCTATTGGCATTATTTGTGATCGAGACGGTAGCTCCAGGGTCAAGGATCGTCGAATTTCGCAGGGGATGTTCATCCCCCTGGGTTACGAACGTGGCCTTGACTTCGACAATGGGCCTGTGATATAGTCATTGATCAGAGTTCTCTTCCTTTATTACTTGTGATAGGTGTCTATCGTTTGACAATCTGGCCTTTTTTCTTATCAGGGATTTCACCTGGGCCTGCAGGTCTAAGTCTTCCTCGAGAGTTTCCTTACCTTCTATTGGATTTTCTCTCGGGGTTTGAATCCCTTCCATGCCTTAGTGGGGAAGACATAGAAGCATTTCGTAAATTCGTGGGGTAACCCACACGCCGGGCATTCCTATCTCTTCTCAGGAGACCTCTAACGCTTCCTTTCTCCCGTCTTCGCAGAGTGGTACTGGCCTTCAATGACGCGGGCGTCCCCTGCATCACCCTGGGGGTCCTCCCCAGCATAGCTCGCATGAAACGCACCGCGGGCCACTCGGCCCTTCGTGGCTTCTGCATCTTGGAGCTCATTTCGGAAGGCGTGCCCCACATCTCGGTATAAGAGGGCCCTATCTTACAATAGAGTCTTTGAAGAGATTTTATACGAGGCAGTCCAGCTAGGCAGGATGTGTGCGGTGACGCTGAAGAAGTCTCACGCCCACGCGCTGTTGTGGAGTGTTTCAGGGACCTCTCGCTGTCGCCCTTTCGCCATTGCCTCTTCCCACTGATCTAGCCACTTGAGTGCGGCTTGGCCGATCGTTCTTGGGGCTGTTCTTAGCAAGCTAAGATACCTGTTTCTGGCATCCCTCGTTTCGTCTGCCTCGGTCCTTCCACACCGGGCACGAAGGTTCCAGTGCCATTCGTATAGAGATTCATGTGACTAACAGCAGGTTTGGATCAGGTTAGGAGAGACCATGCGGATAACCCAGTCTTGAAGGGTTCCAATGGCCTTTTTCTGCTTTTCGAAAACCTTCTCCTGTAGCTGATAGAAGGTGAGGTCCTGCTGGAAGATCTTCTGGCCTTGGTCGGTCAGGTCAGAGATGGACCATGTTCCATTGACAGTTTCCTGAATGTCGTCTGGGGTTCCGTCATTGGTTTCATCCGTATGAGACCGAATCGTTCGTTGAGCTGTAGCGGTCTTCGTGTATCTGCGTTTTCTGATGTCGGGGATAGCTAGTTCGTCTCCCAGGAGGGTCTTTCTTTTGAGGTGCTGTTGAAGACCGAGGCGATGAGCCTGAAGGAGGAACTCATGCTCCCAGTTGAGGAAGTCCTCAGGGGTAGAGAGAGTGGCCGTGAGGCCTTCCTTTTGGGGCTTGGATAGGGACATTGTGTATGAGAATGAGGGTTCTTGTGACGGTTGAGTACCAACTGTGTGGTTGGTTCGTTCGAGGAGGTTTTGTGGGGTAGGCGTTTTCACGTGACGTAAGGACTCGTCACAGTTCTTCAAGGTATTGTGAAAGATGGTTAAGGCAATAAGACTCTTAATTATTAGATATTAAGGTAAAAAGGGTTATTCTTTATTTTTTTTCTTAATTAAAGGACCTTTTAGGACCTTATATCTTTAAGTTATTTTTCTAAGACTTAAGTCTTAAAAGTCTTAGATAAAAGTCTTATATTAAATATTTAAGACTTAAAAGCTCTAAAAGGGAATTATTTATTCTATCTAATTATTTTTAATAGATAAGTAGATTACCTAGATCGCACTGTGATCTAAATAATCTAGATTAATAGGATCACTAGGTAATCCTTACGATCTAGTTTAGCACTAAAGTATATAGAATATACTTATTAGTACTTATATACTAGCTACCTCAGCTATTAATATAACTTAGTTATACTTAATACCTTTGAGTATATTACTAGACGTGACTTATATCCTCTGCCTTAGAGTATGTAACCTGATCCTCTGCTAATATAAACCTAGTACGACCGGTTTATCCCTTGGGAAACACCCTCCCGTCACAATTTGCATGTCGTCTATAAAAACTTCTCCCCCCCCCCCTTCCTCTTCTTCTTCTTTCCTCCTCTCATATCCTTCGTCGTTACCTCTCCCGGACCTGCCCGAGTCAACACGAGCCAGTTAATCGACGGCACTTTGCGCACACCTCTACCATCGAGCGGCTCTATCCATCCAGCCGAGAACGAACTCCCTCCATAGGTAATTTCTTTCTATTCATCATGCGGCAACTAGCGCTAACTACTGCTCGAGTTACCTGTCAAAATGCCTTTCCCCCTGCCCATCGGTCCTCCCGCCATGGCCGCCACCTTCGATCATGCCACCCTCACTCTGCGCCTCGGTATCGGCTTCCCGGGCTTCTACGCCCTCGTCTACATCAGCATCGGCTTTGCTCCTGCCCCTTGCCCTTTCAATATCGCATTTCTTCTTTACCCTGCAAACTGGATGCAACGAGACTGGAGTTGCTATTATAGCTACTACTTAACCACGAAATATAACTCGGTTATCGTTATACTATAAATTCCTCGTGACTTACTGCCTTTATATTATATCGTTCTTTATATATAACCTCTTTATGCTATTTATTTATAAGCTTCCTCTTATGCTAACATATATAATAAGCATGCATCGCATCCAAGTATGCATCGCACTTTTCCCTCCTATATCTAACTTTTCATTTAATTAATTAATTCTTAATTACTTAATATATTAGACCTAAATACTAAGGCTAAAACCCTTCTTACCCTTTAGGCCCTTTAAAATAACCTAAAACTAAGTATTTAATGCGCTATAAAGGCCTATAATATCTCTAAGTATTAGCTATATCGCTATTAAAATAGCATTCTATCGCGATATAATTAGGTCCCTTAATTATATCGATTATCTAATCTAAAAAAATAAATTATTATTTAGTTTATTTTCGACCTAGATTCGCGAGGATTTCCCCTCTAGCTATATAATATAAAAGAAATAACTAATTATTTATTTATTAACCGCGATATACTATTAATCGGCATATATTAGGCTTATAACTTTATTAAGTAGTACTTAGACCTTAAGATATATTTTTTTTTAGAAATATAATTACTAGAGAGCTAAATATAAAGATCTAATTATTATTTGCGATTAATTTTAGCTTATAGTAAATATAATCATAAAGTATAATATTTAATTAAATAATATTTATAATTTTAATAAGATTAGCTTTTTTATAAGTATAATTATAAATAAAATAATTATTATAGGTTTAAAAAGGTATTTAAAGCTAAAATTAATCTAACTTAGAAACTAAGAATAGATTATAATTATTTAAGTAATTATAATAACCTAAAATAGCTAGACTAATAATAAGATTAATCTTAAGTAATTTAAGTACTTTAATTAATATATAATTAATTAATTAATTAATTCTTATTATCTCTTAATCTTTAATAGCTATAAAAGTTATAAGTTAATTAAATTCGAGAGATATTATAAGGAAAAAAAGATTATCTAGCTTTATATATTACCTAATTTATCTTATTTATTTTAGCCTCTTAATATTAAGTACTTTAGTATACTTAAGAGGGCTTATAGGCGAGAAATAAAATATCCAATTAAATACTCTATAACCTATATTTTAAAGACTAAGTTCTTTTTAGCCTTTTATATAATATATAAGGCTATTATAATAAAAAGAAATATTAAGGGGGCTTTTAAAGGAGCTAGCTTTATTCTCCTTAACCTAGAAATTATAATCTTAAAGCTTAATATATAGCTATAGACTTTAATGCCTATTAAGAAGGGAACTAAGCCCTTAACCCCTTAGGTTTTAAAGACTCTAAAGATTATACTTAAGGCTAAATCTTAATTAAAATACCTTAAGAGATAAATTAAAAGGTATTATAATAGCTCCCTAGAGTTAATTCTAAGAGCTTTAAAGTCTTTTATAAAAGGTATAATAATAATAATATATAAGAATATATTATTAAGGGCTAAGGTTAAAGACCTTTAGGAAATAAATAAAATATTAAGTTAATAATAAAGGGTTAAAAAGGACCTAGCTATAGAAAAGAGGGGTTATAATAGTAGAGGAAAGAAGGCAAATAATTAATTAAATAGATATAGATATATAAGTAATAATAAAATTATCGCGGAGTAGTAATTAAAAGAGGTTAATATAACTAGGTATTTAGCGTTATAATATCTATAGTAAGCTTAATTATAATATAAAGATTTATTAAGTAATAATTAAGATATCTAGGGAAGAATATAATAAATAATTTTAATTAATTAAATAATTTATTATATTTTTATTATAATTTCTATTAAAAAGGGTTAAGATTTTTATTTTATTTATTTATTTATTTTACTTGCTTATTATATATATTACCTTATTAAGGGCAAAGAATTACAACCTTTAATAAATAAATAATTTACTAAGTTAATACTAGAGGGCAAAAAGGACCTAATTATAAAAAGAAGGAATAATAATAATAAGGGAAGTAAGGGAAGTAATTAATTAGATTAATATACATAGGCGAATAGAGGGCAAATCGTCGAGAAGTAGTAGTTAAGCAGGGTTAATAAGACTAAGGAAAAGGCACTATAGAGGATATAGAAAGATAGGATATAATATAAGAATATATTAAATAGTTATAGAAATATCTAAAGAAAAGCATAGCAATTAATATTAATTAATTAGGTAATTTATTATGTTTTTCTAGTAATTCTTATTTTAAAGGTTAAGATTTTTAGTGCACTTTCTTGTCCGGTGCACTCGCTTATTATATACGTTAGTTAGTGGGAGTTTTCTTGTTTGCACTGGATACCTTCGCATACAAATGCAGCAGTGCGAGGTTTGCCATGACAGAGAGTTCAAATGGCGCTTTTCAATCTACCCATCTGCGCACCAACTTCAACTGAGTGTGTTTTCCCCGTCACAATGCCTATACAGTAATCCAGATGGGCACCAGATGACCATTTTAGATAGTAGGCTTTGGTCCACATTCATGATCCATCAGATATCTGCTATCCATCCTGTGACTGCAGGATACCAGCGGCTGACCCTGTCGATCCCTTGTATCCCTTGGTCATCCGGATCACAGTTTGGCACCACAGCCTACATGTCGGATTACATATACTTATCTCTAAAAATAACCTCTGGGTTTCTAAGATATGCAGTGCCAATGGTCGGAGAGGAAAGTTCGAGAGACCGAAACGATGTCTCTTCTATTCAATAGTGCTGACACTGACGGCTAAACGAACAACAAAGCTAATACGATACAAGTATGCTGGGAGAAGAAACAATTCTGAATCACCTTCCCAACAGGCGCTTCCCTAGCAAGATCGCACCGTACATAGATCCGCCGGCACCCGCAAGCACCATAACGAGACCAAGCACAATTCCCCTTTCGAAGAAAGAATGGCCCAGGAATGGGCTACGCTTGACCTTCTTCAAGGTCTTTGAAACCAGGACGGAGCTCTTTGGGCTCTTGCCCTTACCCAGAGGCTTCACTTGATAGACTGGACTGTTGACACTGAAGTCTGAAACAGAGTAAGGCAAGTCCAAGGTTGCTGTGGGGGTAACGGGCACCTCAACCGCTGTTGTCGACAAGTCAGAAGGTGGCGACAGACAAGTTTTGTAGTGGGACAACGTACTTAAAGAATTCGGTTTGATTCCGTTGATGAGAGCTTGCTGAGCGCGAACAAACTTGCTGAAGTATTCACCTTCGAGCGAATTCGAGAAGCTATACAGGACCGGCGCAAGATCAGGATGATTCCTGCAGAGTGTCAATAGTCTGACTAACTTGAAGGAGTGAGCTGTCTGAATCATACACTGCGTTGATGAGATCAATGCTGTTCTCGGTGCTGGTGGTGGGAACAATGACGACCTTGTCGGTTGCCTCGAACAGAGCAGAGACTTTATCTCGCAAGACCTCAAAGCTCATCTCGCTATGCAAGCATTAGCATATCGCCTATCTGCTGAGGGAGCGATACGCACTCTGGTCGATCAAAGACGGCGATTTTGGAGGAATTTTTTGAACTACGAACTTCGCCACTGCCTTGGGCCGGCTTGGCCTGACCGTTGGCCTTGCCCCCAGGCCGGGCCCCATTTACAGCAGGGGCTGCCCCAGTAGCAATGAGCTGCCCAAGTCTCAACTCAAACTCATCGAGTACGAACTCATCGACCAACAGGACCTTCGGGGATCTGAAGCTGCGCCAAAAAGCCCCGGCCGAGATGGCACGGTGAAGGTGAACAGCCGCGGATGCGAGGTCGCCACTGCGATCAACAATGGCAAACGTCTTGCCCCTGGTGGGCCGCAGCACTCGAATTGACGGATTGGCACGAATGAGTCGATGAATCAAGTCATCATACTTGGCGTCCGCCGGGATCGTCACGACGTCGAAGTGCTGCGACGTAAGATAGGCGAGATGCTGGCTGTGGCCCACCACCACGCCTTGGTGATTGGTAGTGTCGGTCAGACATTGCGAGATCAGCTCCGCCATTTTCTTGGCACCCTCGGCAGGAACACTGATGGTGGTGCAGCCGGCGGCGAGGGCGCTTAAGAAGGGGAGAAGGACCGACGAAAGGGGGCTCCTCGGAGAGCCCACAATCAAGGCCACCCCAGACGCCCGAGGGTGGACACTGACTTGGCCTCCTTTCTTGACAGATTTCTCGACACGCAGGTCCGCCTGGAGCGAGAGGCTGTAATAGAGCTGTTCGGCGGAGTGGATAATCGTGTTCATGTCCTCGACAGCTTCGTCCTTTGACCATCCAAGCTCTGCATAAGCGGTGGTTAGCACAGCATGCATCGTGACTCCAGTCGTGCGACATACCAATGCATAGACTCTCTACAAGCACTTTGGAGTGTTCCTTGAGCCAGGCATGCAAGGCATAGATCTGGCCCTTGCGGGTTTGCGCATTCTCGAGAAGACCTTCGAGCAAACCTCCTTGGGCGGTTGCGTAGATTCTCTCAGGAGATACAGAGGCCATTGTTGTTGCTGCTGCTTTCCCGGTGCATGCAAAAGGACGGCAGCAGAAAGGGAGAAGCTGTCCAGACGATGACGACGATGCTGTAGACGTGTCTCGGATTCTCTGCGCCTGTGCGACCAAGTGCTGGAGATATCAGTGAGCAGCGCCCACCTCTTGAGCGGCCTTCCCTGATGGGGACCAGACATGCAGTAACGTCTGGTCCTTGGCCATAGTATAGACCTCCGGCCCCACGGATGCATAACTTACGCAGGCCCGTACCCCACAACGTCGGCTTGACGTGGGGGATATATTGAATACTACCGGCTCCACAGCCATCCCGGTGTTTTCTTCTTGTCCAACGTTCCGTCCCCATCCTAGATGGCCCTCCAAAGTGCCTCCAAGAATCCCCGTAAATTTCGAACCTGAACTGATGCACTTAACCTTCCACGCCAACTTCAACATCTCACTTCTATCACCGTCCAACAAGCATCGACAATGAGCGGGGTAGAGGCGTCCACCCACACACGCCAGACCCGCGAGCACACTCCGGGACAGTCAGCAGCTACCCTGCGGCTGGTTGGAGACGGCAGCTCCGCAGGGCAGTCCAACCAAGCCCGGGAAACAGGCGCGGCAGCAGAGCAAGACCTTCAACCATACGGCCCCCAGCCCCCAGAGTTCGATCCCACGGTCAACGATCATCCTCTTCACCCCAACCCTCGCCCGCAGCCGGACTGGTGGCCTACGAATTGGCGCGGCATTCCGGCATACAGACAGGTGAATCGAGATCTCGACCTGTCGGTCCGCAGCCAGGGATTCCCGTACAACGTCGGTGCCGTCTTTATGCTTCTTGGCTGCACGACAATAGCTGTGCGTTTCAGATTCCCTCCTCCCCTGAGCTTGGTGTAGCTGACTGGACGCAGACCGGTGGACAGCTATGGAGATACACGGCTCAGCAGATCGTGCCAGGCTGGGGTGAATACCCTGTAGGAGGTGAATTTTAGGAGAGTTGATGTTGACATGCGAGTCGTAAATTAGCCTTGTTCAATTACGCATGCATTTACCTGTAGAAGTATCTCTTGTATGGTTTCCTACACATTTTTGCTTAAATATATTGCAGTCGTACAATAACAGCCCCTGTGAACACCCACGATTCAATCTAAATTAACCGCGACCTCAGCAGGCCCAAAAGGACGGCGAGTGCATGTTCACTAAAGAATAAAAAGCAGAAACACACGCATATCCAAAAGTCTTTTATAATGACAAGCTGTATTCAACGATGTCAAGATGACATTTCTTGAACATTGGGACTAATTGTACTTTATGATGCACACGAATCTGATCTATTCGACGACTAGCTGTCCACGAAATCGTAATCTAAAGGGAGAGAGAAGAACTAAATGAACGTTCAATTCCGTCAAAAGACCACATCTTGTTGCATCTATTCCCACCGTCCCAGTTGGAACTGGACATTGCTCTGGTTAATCAGCTCCCAGTTCTCCCCCAGGTAAAAGTTCTCGCTGTCAATGTCATCCATGTCGCCGGCAGCCCCAGCACAAAAAATATTAGCCATGTAGTGGTCGTCCGAGCCGTGTGCCTCGCGGTATCGGGGGTGCTTCATCAGCCTCGTTACAGCCCGTCTCATGGCCGGCCCCTTGTTGTTGATGACGGCGTCAATGAACGACTGTCTAAATTGCAGCGCCCATTCCTCAGGTGGCGTGGGAATTGAAAAGTTGTCGCGATACAAGGCTTGGTCGATCCACCGCGCCCGCCAAAGGTTGTGGACTGTCCCAGCACTGCCAATGATGACAGTGTTCTCATAGCGCAGCGGCCTGAGAGTAAGGCCGATCTTTGCGTGCATATGGGGGTCATAAAAGGCATTCATTGACACCACAACGGTGGGCGGGGGGATGCAACGTGGGAACATGCGGATCAAGACATTGTATGTGTCATGAATCCAATCCCACTTGTAGTCAGGGCTCGCCTTGATACCGGCGTCGTTCAACATTTTCATGACCCGATGACCACCTTCGACATCGGTGATGAGCTTGTATGGGATCCAACGGTTGTCCCTAACACCACCAGGGGGATGCTTTCCCGCTTTGGGATTCATGGCGACTTGAACGCCATCACCACCGACCATCCAGTGGGCTCCCTGTTCATGTCCATTCGAGTCAGACTCTCTTCTTGGAGCGGCAGCATCAGTTGGTTATACTTGCCATAATCACAATGCGGGAGACCTTGCGCTTTATCAACTCATTGCCGATCTCCTCCCATACTCGCTGTGGCTCACTTTCTTCCCCAAGCATGAGAGGAGTTCCATGGGAGAGAAGGAAGACGGGTGTGGGAGCTGCCCGCTAGGTGAGCATTATGCCTGGATGATGGATGCTGGGTGATATTCTCACCTTTGCCCTTGTTGTGTTCAATCGGGGCCATGATGTAACTTGAAGCTTTGTTGTAAGGGATGCTATAATTGTTCTGGTGACCGATCTTGTCTCATTGATTTATATAATCTTGTGTTATGAGAGGGGGCGCAAACATGGTAATGAGCAGGGAAGCGTTGATGTTGTGGGGCCGGAAGCTGCTTAACTAAATGGGTATTACTTTATAATACTAGTATTTATATTATATACTTCTTATTAAATAGGGATATAGCAGCTATAAACTTTAAATATATTAAGAAAATTTATAAAACTAATACATATTATTATAACTTTATAGTATAATAAAAAGAAATTAAAAATACTTAATATTTTTTAATAATTATAATAATAAAAGCTTTTATTATTTTTATAAGGTAATAATTACTATTATAAAAAATTCTATAATATATATAATAAGCTTATATCCCATATAAGTATATATCTTATTAAGATTTATACCTTAAATTACGATTTTAAAAAAGCTATTAAAAATCTATACTAAGCCTAAAATAGCAAAATTTTTAAATATAGCTTAATTAATATAAGGTATATATAAGTAAGAATTCCTAGAAATTCTACCCTATAGGAACTCTAGAAACCTTAAAGTATAGATCTTTTTATATTTTTTTTTTTTTTTTTTTTTTTAGTTTTTTAAGGTTAAAAAGTATTAAGATTTTTAGAAATTCTTTTCTATATAATTCTTATAGTATTTAATTTAAGCTTAAAATTATAGCTATTTTAGGCTTAGTTTAGACTTTTAATAGCTTTTTTAAAATTGCGATTTAAGGTATAAATACCTACTGGGATATATACTTATCTAGGATATAAGCTTATTATATATATTATATATAAATTATATAAGAAGAATTAAATAAAATCTTTAGCTATTTTATTTTCCTATTTTAGGCTTAAATTAGATTTTTAAGATTTCTTTTTATATTTTATTTTAAAGTAAAAATATAAATTTTATATATACTCATATATAATACAAGCTTATTTAGTATATTAAGGCTTATAAAAGTAACTTTTATTAAAATAAATTACTTAGCTTTTTATTATAATACTTAGCAAAGCTTACTAAAAGCTATCTAATATAACTTATAAATTAAGTTTTAAACTTATATTTTTAAAAAAGAAATTTTTAATAAAAAAATTAAGTATTTTTATTATATTAACTAATTAAGTTTTTATAAATTTATATAATGTTCTTAATAAGCATATGGATTAAATAAGGATATAAATTAGTTAGTTTTATTTCTTAAACTAAGATTTTAAGATAATTCTAAAAAGTTTAAGCTAAGTCTAAAATAGCTATAAGTTTTATATTAGGTTAATTAGAAAGGTTTCTATAAAAGACTATAAATAAAAACTATTAAGTCTAAAAATAGTATAGGGTAGGTAACTAAAATAGGAGGAGAATAAGTAAAGGAATTAGTTTTTATAAAAAGCTAATTAGCTAGATAAGGTATTATAAAGTAATAAAAATAGAGAAAATAATAAATAAGGTTCTAAAAAAGAAGGCTAGCTTTTTATTATTAGTCTTATTAATAATATTAATTAAAAATCTAAGAAATTATTTCTAAGAGAAGGTTTATAGCTTATATAGCTAATTACTTAGAATCTATTAGCCTAAATTAGCTAAAAGTTATCCTATTAGATAGCCCCAATCTTAGGCTATTAAACTATATTAGTTTTACTAAGAATAGATAGATAGAAGCCGAGTTATAGCATAAAGAAGTTTAAGACTTTAATAGTTTTAAGTTAGGATATTTAAAACTAGATAGAAATTACCTATTAGAAAGACCTAGCCTTATCAGCTTTATTAGAATTAATAAAATCTCTAAGTCCGAAGTTATATAATCTTTCCTAAAAGGGTAATATGGCTTAAAAAGGCTTAAATAAATAAGAAGATAACTCCTTTATACCTTGCTTAAATAAGCATATATAGCTTAGGTAAGCATATAGCTATAAAGCGCATAAGCTATATTATATAATAATAAAATCCCAGGCTTATATCTAATAAGCCTATTTTTCTAGAATTTTATTTATAAAAGACCTTTATATAATAAGGACTTTTATAGTTTTTATAGAAAAGACTTTTCTTAAATTTTATTTATTTTTATCTATAAAGTTATAATAAAAATGCTCATTTATATTATATATTTTCTTAATTTTATATATAAAAAGTATAATAAATTAAAATAAAATAAACTAAAAGTAAATATTTAATAACTTTTATTATATAAATATTTTTTAAAATATTTTTAAAACTTTGTTTATTATATAATATACTTAATAAGTATATACACTAGATAAGTAAGTATATTACTTAAAATTTTACTTTAATAGATAATTTAAATAAATTCTTAATTATTTAAACTAGGTTTAAAATAGCTAATGTTATGTTTAAAATTTTAAGCTTATTATATAATATAAAACCTATAATAATTTCCTTAGATTTTTATAAATTCTTACTAAGCTAGTATAATAATACCCTATTTATATTATATAATTAGCTATTTTTATATAAAGAATTTTTTTTTAAAAATCTATAAAAATTATTTTCAAGCTTTATATAATATTAAATAGCTAAGAATTTTTTTTTTAATAATTTAAGGAATTTAATAGCTAGTTTTAGAAATATAAGGTTGACTTATTTTTAGTTATACAGTATGCTGGTGCACATACTTGTTTGGTGCACATGCTTATTATGTACGTTAGCTAGTTTTAGAAAATCTAATGTTTTTGCTTTTAGCTGTACAGTATGAGTGATCCACTCATTATTTGATCCACTGGCTGATGTTATGCGTTATTAAAATATTATCTCGGCCCCACAGCCACGCGTCCTTAACTATAAACTCGGTATAGTTGTGTAACATGTCTAAATCTCTAGCCACGTAGCAAGTGGAGCCTTTTTTAAAATTAACCAGACTGCGACCTATCTATTAATTCCCATCCTCGACCATGCTTGCGTATGAGACTCTGCACTGACATGAGAATGTCTTATCGGTATCTGTTTAAAAGCTCGAGATCTCCACTAACTGCCAAGGTAGAGCATAAGGGACGTTCATGCCCCAATAAATAAACCTCATAATGTTTCTCTCTGCGTTGAGTATAAAGACTGCATCACTCCTTGCGCTCGCCGATGATGTGTGACTCCCTTGGTGTGTCTTACCGGATTGCCCAACCTCTGCTTGAGGCACGAGCGAGGGTTTTTTTCTCATGTTTAAGGGCTCTATAGTATAGTAGGGCAGGGGCTAGTTCGTGCTCGGCATCTATAAGCCTTGCAGAAGGGAGCTGGACTTGACCCGCACATCCGAGATCCGAGTGGGCATTCCGCCACTCCCTGTTTATCTACCCTCTTCAGTCGCGTCTGCAGACGTCACATCGAGCGTCGACCAAGGTTCACCTCGAGATATCTCAGTATCGGACCCGAGGTCTGGTTCAACTGTCTTTTCCCCCTCGGCATTCTCGGAGTTAGCTGCCATGACTGAGTCCTTCCCGTGCGACCGCTGCGGTAGCATCTTCCAGAGACGAGAGCATTTGCACCGACACATTCGGGTCCATACTAAGGAGAGGCCATTTGCCTGCTCTGTTTGCGAACAGACATTTGCTCGGCTGTAATGAACTCACTGCGCCACCTCATACCAGCCCACCGTCACATTGGTTACTGATGCTCGGCAGAGACGCCCTTTCCCGCCACTACAGCTCCTTGCATCAGCCTCCGACGGAGCAGCACAATGCCTCTGCCGACCAGACCAAGACCGCTCGAGCCGCAAAGGCATGTCAGGCCTGTGCCACGGCCAAAGTCCGCTGCGATGGCGACACGCCCTGCCGCCGATGCTCCGAGTCAAACCAGAGCTGCTTCTACAAGTCGTTCGACAAGCGAAAATCCCCAAACACAAGGCAGCAGAGGGCGCCCAAACAAGCGCGGTTTGTGCTAGATGAGCAGGAGGTTTCTTCGGCCAACTTCCCAGTTGGGACACAGGCGATCGCGATATGCGAGCAGCAGAACGACGCGCTCCCAGACCTACCCACCGGGGATTCATCTACAGTCCACGCTATCAGCCCTGCTGTAACCCAGCTGGGTGCCCCGACTGGTGAAGGGAACACAGAAAACCTCCCCTTGACTTGCCTTGATCCGGCCGACGACAAGACGAGCGGAATCACAGACCCATTTTGCATCGAGACATTCAACAACTTGATCGACTGGGACTACAGTGGCCTGGACACAACAAACATCACTGTCTCCTACATGCTCGGCGCTGAGATGTCTACCTTCCTCGACAAATACACCCCCACGTCGGATATCCTGGGCTTGTTTGCAGACCCATTTGAGCGCCCCCGTCAAAGCTGCGCCTCGCTAGGCCCCAATGATCCGGCCGAGCCATCGATAGCCGAATGCTACAGTCGAGCGCATTCACCTCCTCTGGACCGGGACAAACTGAGCGTGCGAGACCACAACGCTTCTCGAACCGAAGGAAGGCTTGAATTTCCAGACATGACTGGGTTCACGGCTGAGGAGCTGGACAGGGAAGACTATGCCTACGTAGAAGCATTCGATCTAGCCAGGTTCCAGCCCGTCGTTGACCTTGCCGAGAAGATCAACGCGTCGGCGTTCTTCCCTCAGTGGGCGCAGCTGAATCTGCCTCCCGGAGAAGTCCTCCATGTCTTTATCCAGCTCTACTTTGAAAACTTCCATCCCATGTTCCCCCTAATTCATCTGCCGACGTGCTCCTCCCCAGAGACCCATTCTCTCCTCTTGTTTGCCATGGCAGCCATAGGTGCGAAATATTCCAAACTGAAAGGGGCACACAAGTGCTCGCTTGCTATGCACGAACTTGTTCGCCAGCAAACCCAGTATTTGGTTGGCAGCCGCACCCCCGTATCCATTACCTCTGGCTGATGCCTTTCACAGTCCGAGCATGCGACGAACTTGTCCCGTCAGCTGTGGCTCCTCCAAGCCATTGTCCTGAACCTCGTAGGCCTCATGTATTCCGGGGACAAGCAGAGCCTACTGAACGCGGAGGCCATGCAGAGTGCGCCTGTCGTTCTCGCACGGCGGGCGGGCATCTTTGAAGAAAAGCTGTCACCGGAAAAGATGGCTACGTTAAAGATGCCACGGGATCGTCTGTGGCGGCTATGGGTCTTTGCCGAAGGGCGGAGGAGACTGGCACACGCTATCTGGGCAAGTCAAAACATGCTTATATACTAGGCGGGAGCCCAGTCACCTTTGTCGTTGCTAACTGTGTAAACCTCTCGATATAGATCATCGATTCCAGTTTCGGCCTCCATTTGGACATCTGTACAACCATGGATTTTGCAGAGATCCGGAATTGTCTGCCACAATCGGACAAGCTCTGGAGTGCCCCATCAGCGGAAGCATGGGTGAACACGACCTCTTCGCTAGGTACCTCGCCGTGAGCTATATTCCAACGTGCCAATCGCTGACGAGACAAGATCCCGTAAGGGACACCACGGCTCAGGAAATCTTCAAGAGCCACAACTGGGCAGTACTGTGGAGAAGCACCAGCACACTCGGCAGACAGTCCCTGGTCCAATTCCTGTGGCATGCTGCCTTCAAACCCCAGCAAACCATTACCTGGAGACTAGAGGCGCCCTGTCACTCGTCTGCGGATGGTGAATGGTCCATGAGACAACTCTCGGACCTGCTTTCGCTCGATGACTCGGTGCTGTGTGATGCACCCCACTTGGACTCGATCGAGCTCCCCATCATACGGACGATATGCCACATCGCCCAAGCAAAGTATCATTGCCCAATAACCAACTTTTCAAGTCTCATCGTCCAGTACATCTACAATGCCATGGATGAGTCCACGCTGGAGGAGGCGACCCGACTTTGGACAGGCTCTATCAGAAGTGCCAAAATCTCTGTGCTGCATGCGAGCTGCGTCTTTGAGATTGTTCGCAAGTACAGGCCCCGGTTTTTCTCCATATCTGTGATGTTCTTCAAGGCTGTTCTCACCCTGTGGAGCTACTCGAAATTCCTGTTGCCCAAGTTCGATGTGACCAAGAAAAGCACCCCTGGTCGTTATCTGACATCAGCACTACTGGGCTGTAGCATCAGCAAGGGTTCGACAGACCTGTGGCTCAACAACGACAATGTCGTGGCTAAGCTTGGGGGGATCGGTAATTTGGACAGTGCTTCAGCTCGTCGAAAAATGCTCGAAGAGGCTGTTGCCCTGATGCAGATGGACAGCGTATGGATGTTGGGTCAAAGTTATGCGAAGTGCCTGGTCCGGCTCAAGGAGAAGGAGCTTGTACCAGCGGCGGACAATACTGAATGAGCGGAATGTTTTACGAATTGAAATGACATGATAACGGCGTTGGCCATCACTGAGGCATGAGCATGGTGGATTGCTCATTACACCTCCATAAAGCTAGCTTGGATTGTTGCTGGGCAGAAACCGCAATGATCAGAAACTGACTGCTGGTAATCCACCGGTGGACTCCTTAAGGAGACTTGTAACAACTGCTCCTGTCTGACTTCCCTGTCTCTGCTTCCCTTCCTGGCATGGCACGATCACTCCATCCCGGAGCACCTCCTAGTCAACCGTTGCGGCTCATCAGGAAGATAGCTGCTGGCGCAAACATGCACTCGGTGGTCTGTCGTAGATTTGAAAATGCCGACTGGGAGATATAGCAGTTATGACGGTTGATCTACAAGTTCTATCTAACTTCTTTCCGAATGATCTGAACTGATCCTGACAAGAAAGCCACGTCGCCGAAATCGCCGTCTAGCCCGCTTTAGTCAAGTTTCCGCTGGAACCTGGATGCTTTTGCTGGATAGCCCAGTCCAACGCGGAGACAAGAACGTAGAGTGTCTCAGTTCTAGGAGTAGACACGGCATGCTTTCGAGCCAAGCGCACGACCTCCCCTATTATGGCCATGGTTTCCATCCTTTTCCCTGATAGCATATCCGACATCATGCTGGGTTCTACGCCTGGCCATGCACGGTTCGCTGTCCGTTCAAGCTGGGCATCGATTGCGCTCCCATCCAGAGCCCCCGGGCCCAGCACCGCGACCCCCACGGCGACAATCTCTCGCATCACGTCCTTGGCACAGTCGAAGGCAAACGGGCTCGCGCTCAGAAACTCGACGTCCCTGCAGCGGGACAGAGAGCAGATGGGATTCCACGTGGCATTAGCGATCAGCTTCTTCCACCTCTCGATCTGGATGTCGGGGTACGTCTCGGCACGTCCTCCGCCAAGGTTGATCAGCTCCGAAAAGTGAGCAACGCGGGGGTCGTCCTTGGCCGCCGGGAAAGATCCCACGCACAAGCGCACGGATTCTGTGTGTCTGATCTCCACGGGGGAAACTTGTGTTGAGGGCGAGTATGTCACTGCGGAAATGATGAAATTGTTGGGGTAGAGTTGAGCGTATGGCTCCTCGATGCCAATGCCATTTTGTATAAGAATGATCGTAGCACCTGGGCTGCTCTCTATCGCCGGTGCGATCAACTCGGCGGGGTTCGGCTTGCTGTCAGGGAAAGCTTTGGTGCACACTATCACATAGTCGAAGTGGTGGTTATGTGAGGCACCTGCATTGTCGATGGACAAGGCGATCTCAGGCTTAAAGGTGTGGTCTCCGAAGATGGTCGAACGTATGGTGAAGCCGTTCTCTTTGGCTTCTCGGTAGTTGGATCGACATACACAGACGACCGATGCGCCGGCGCGCCACAAGACATATGCGTATAGGGTTCCGATGCTACCAGTGCCAAAGATTAGGACACGGGCCATTGTGAGTGCTCGCAAGTAGAGGGCAAGCGAGACCGGGGAGCTTCAGTTGCCAGGGACACGAAAAATCGAAGTTGAGAGACTGGGGGTGGCCTATATGGTCTTGGGATGACCGAGACCACCTGGACCGAGTGACGGCCTCTTAATGGAATTATCAGGTAGACCGTAGGCCACAAAGACTCGCCAAATCTAGCAAGGAGCAACGTCCGTTTCTCAAGATCGACAGGTGTAAGTACAAGGGCATCTCACAGCTCAAAGCTCCAGTTTTTAAGACAGCTGACCTGTTCCACACGCTCGAGTTAGAGGACTTATCCGCAATCGCCGAGCAATGAGATGAGGCTCAAGCGCGCATGAGCCGGAGCCGGAGCTTGTGCTTGAGGAGGCGTGTGGAGCCGAAGATGGGCTCTTGACAGCTCCATATTGCCAACCCCACACGGCTTCCGACTGGCGTTGGCCCTGCGATCGGAGATGCACCTGGATCCCTAAAAGTAAATGACCCATGAGTCACAATGTGCCAAGGAGGATAGATAATAGCTCCTTCACACCTACTTACCTATTCTTGACTGTGTCTTTGCCACTACTACAACCGTCTTTGATCCTGTTCCCGGGCTACCTTGTCCGACCCAGCCAATAACATGCCTAATCAGATCAGAAACGATCTCCTCAAAGTGGACAAGGATTCGTATCCATACATCTACGAAGAGAATGTTGGCATCCCCATAAAGAGCATTGGGGGGTTGGTCCGCACTAATGTCTACCGACCGAAAGGTATCGAAAAGGCCCCGGTGATTGTCACATATGGGCCTTACGGCAAGGACGTGCCTTACGAGGTGTAAGTCATGAACAGCACGCCATCACAACTTGATGGAGCGCACTGCCTGGCCAGCATCCCTTTGCTGACCTCGTCGCCAGTTTCCAACCAAACTCGTTTCGCGATGTGAACCCAAATCAGAAGTCTGCGCACTCGTCGTTTGAGACTCCTGATCCAAAGTTCTGGACTGGTCAAGGCTATGTGGTCGTGAGAGCCGACGAGATCGGAGTTGGCCAGTCGCCGGGGGTGCTCGACTCCATGTCCAAGGCGACGTCAGAGGCCTTCTTCGAGATCATCGAGTGGGCCGCCATCCAGCCATGGAGCACTGGCAAGGTAGGCCTGCTCGGCATCAGCTACTTCGCCGGCAGCCAGTGGAGAGTGGCTGCACGCCGACCCAAGGGTCTGACCTGCATCATCCCCTACGAGGGCATGGCTGACTATTATCGCGATCGTTGCCGCCCCGGAGGCATCCTGGCGCTGGAGTTCCTGAAGAAATGGTTTACTCGCAACGTCATGTCAAACCAGTACGGCCTGCCTGGAAAGGCCGCGCGTGGCTGGGGGCCGGACACTCTTGAAGGAGACTTGTCCGAAGAAGAACTGGTCCAGAACAGGCGTGACCAGGCCGAAGACAATGCTGCTCACCGCTTCCGTGATGAGGAGTATTATGCTTCGAGGGACTACAACCTCGAGGATATCGAGGTCCCGCTGCTCTCAGTGGGAAACTGGGGAAGCATCTGTTGCCATCTTCGAGGCAACATCGAAGGCTTTGTCCGGGCCTCGTCGCAGTACAAGTTCCTGCGCATGGTTGTCGGTCGCCACGATGGGCCGTTCTACGAGGAAGAAGAAGTCAGAATCCAGCAGAGCTTCCTGGACGCGTTCCTCAAGGATCACGACCCATCTGGCTGGATAACCGGCCAAATCCCGCCCGTCGACCTGATCCTGCGCAATGGCAGCGTGAGCTACGACAACAAGGACGCAAGCAAGCTCTATCCCCGACGGTCCGAGAACGAGTGGCCAATTGCACGCACCCAGTTTACAAAATTCTACCTGACCCCGGACCAGCGGCTAACAAAGGACTCACCAACCACAGCTTCTTACAGCAGACTGACATACCCGGCTCTGGGCACAGTCGAGAACCAGCATTCGCTGCTCTTCAAGAGTGCACCATTTGACAAGTTGACCGAGATCACGGGCCACATCGTAGCTCATATCTGCGTCTCGGCAACACCCCAGCTTGGAGGCCCTATCCCCAAAGACATCGACCTGTTCTTCACCCTACGTCATTACTCGGCATCTGGTGAGGAGTGTTACTACACTGGGCTCATGGGCGACCCAGCTCCCCTCTGCAAGGGCTGGCAGAGGGTCAGCCTGCGCAAGATCAACAAGGAGCACCCCCTCCACCGAGAAGACCGTCCTCACCGCGACTTCTTCTCGACCGACGTCTTGCCCGTCATCCCGGGGGAGGTTTATGTCGTCGACGCTGAGATTTGGCCCACCAACGTCGTCGTCCGTCCGGGCGAGACGATCGTACTCGAGGTCAGCAGCGGCGACACGCAGGGATCTGGCTTCTTTACTCATGAATCTGACGAAAGGTATGTAAAAAGCTGCCCCCGATTAGTGAAATGTCTAGTCTAGTGACACGGTTTGGCTGACTATCTTCTACTTTGCCACAGGACGCCTGAGATCATGGGTGGTGACAACCACATCCACTTCAGCTCTCGGTATACCAACTGGGTGTCTCTCCCCATCATTTCGCCCAAGGGAGGGAGTGAGTGATCGTCGCTAGCGGCTTGCTATGGGTGTTTCTACAATAGTCTAGAACAGATGTGTGCAACTAGTTTGTCCTTTCCCGCACGAGACCCGCAGTAAAGTGAGTCTTGAAATACCTAGTATTTTCAAATCCAGCTATCTGAATCCATCACTGCGTGGCCAACATGCACCTACATAGTTCTAGGTTAAATTCACCCATAAAAGCGGGGATATGGTGGATAAACTCATTCCTACTAATAGTATCACATTCTTATAGGGGCCCCATAGGGACACGCCTAGGCGCGCCTCTACTCGCGAACGCATCGGCGTATAGATTATATTAGCCCTTAATTTAGCCTAAGCCCTATAGTTATGGTTTTAAGGGCTTTATTTATTACTACTATTACTAAATATAAATATAATCTCTAGGAATAAGCTTTTATTATAGCCTAAGTAATATTTCCTAATAATATATTCCTGCTAAAAAGTATATATAATTTATAAGGGGCTTTACTTATAGCTATTAATAAATAAATAATACCTAGAGGATATATATTTATAACTAAAAGATCTTTATAATAAATTAATAATAGGTAAATTATTATATATATAAATAATTAATAATATTATCTACTTAGCACCTCAAAAGATTACTAATATAAGATTATTATATAAGAAATTAATTATTAGTTTTTAATTATTATAAAAGAATCCTTAGATAAGGCGACCTAGTCTTTAAGGTATTATTTAAATAGCTAATTTTCTTTATATAATTATAAGCTAAGCTAATATAAATTAGCTTATTTAGTCTATTAATAGCTTCTCAATATAAATAAATTAATAATTAATTACTTTATAAATATTAAGGTAATATTAAAGGATATTAAGACTTATATCTATTAAAACTTAAATATTATTATAACTTAATAAAATATTTATAATTATATTATAGATAATAAATAAGAGCTATATAAGGGATAAAAGATTATATATATCTTTATTAATTAGCTAGATAAGAAAAGATTCTAAAACTAAATATAGCTTAATTTAAATAACTAAGTTATAATAATATTATTTACCTATCTAGAGTTATTAGTATACCTCTAGGCTTATCTAGACTTACTTTTTCTAGATTATATATTATAAGAGCATGAGGGACTCTTACGTAAGCTGTCAAGGCTGCTTACTAAGCTAGAGCTTAAAATAGCAATAACTTAGATAAAGGGAAGGTAAAGAACCTGCTTAGTAAGCTATGACTAAGCAAGGGAAAGTGGGCCTATATAAAGATAGCTTAGGTAAGCGAGAAAAGGTCTCTAAAGAGAAAGTCTTTATTAAGATAATTAAAGGTCTAAGTTCTTTCTTTAAGAAAAGAAAGGAAATTTACTATTATATAAATATATAATATAAATAATACTAATAGCACTATTTCATACTATAGGCCTTAAGCCTATAAGTCTCTTACATATATATAGCTAGGTATCTCATAAAGCTTTACGCAAAGTTAAAAAATAGCAAAAGCTACTCTTAAAAGAAAACCTACTTAGTTATACCGGCGTATTCTCTTAATCTTATAGCCTCCCTTGCGCTTATACTCTTAAGGCTCTATAAAAATAAGGTTAAGCCCTTGGCCTAGAGTATTTTTATATATATTAATACCTTAATCGCTAAAGTATTTATTAATTATTACTAAAGCCTCGGTATTAACCTAATTAAATAGCTACTAGTTTAACTACTAATAGACTGTAATTAAATACCTAGAGAGAGCTAAGTATATTTAAGGTAATTTAAGTAATAATATAGCCAAAAGTATAATCTAAATGTAATAAATATTACTAAGTAAGTTGTTAAATAACTTTAAAGGCATATCCTTAGCGATATAAGGAACTTTTATAGTTATTAGTATTATTAGCATAGGTAAGGCTAATACTAGCGACGTTATTATTAGTATTATTATAATAGTTAAGGTTCCTAATATAGTAAACAATAATCTAATTTAATTTATATTAATAGGTATAACGGGGCATAATATACTAACTATAGGGTAATAAATTATATTTAATAATATTAAGAAGTATTCCTAAGTAATTAAATTATATTAAAAGCTAAGGTAGCGAGAATATTTATCTAAGGGATATTATATAGTTTTTTATAGGCAAGGTTTAGGGAGTATCTTATAATACTTATTATAAAATAGTATTATATTCTTACTTACCCGGAGGAAGAAAATAGGTCCCGCCTACTCGTACTAAGTGAGCGGAATATATTAATCTATGCCACGTAGTAATACGCATTTAATCATAGCATAGGCCATAATAATTATTAAGGCAGGTACGACTAGTGCCGATAATATCTTTATTAGTATTATTTTTATAAGCAAGGGAAGCTCTAAGATTAATATCTTTAGGGTTATTAAGGCAAGTAAGGCTAATTAGGGATAATACTAGCTATATTATTATTAATATTAATAATAACATATATAATAAGTAAGCGCCGCAGTTAAGTAAGCGCTATACTTTTTTTACCCCTTAATATAAGAATTATAATAAAAATACTATAAACTATTTAATTAATTATTTACCTTTCTTCCTCTATTATTATTATCTCTCTTTTTTACAGTCTAATCCTTTTTATCCTTTAGCGCCGGCTTAGTATCTTATTTACTTATTTAAGTTTTTTAACCCTAGCCTTAGGTAAGGTAACCTTATATATAACTATCTTTATTCCCTTAGAAAAAGACTATATAGCTTTTAGAATTAACTCTAGGGAGCTACTTTTATGCCTTATAATTTATCTCTTAAGGTATTTTAATTAAGATTAAGCCTTAAGTATTATCTTTAGTATCTTTAAGACCTAAGGGGTTAATAATTTAACCTCCTCCTTAATAGGTATTAAAGTCTATAATTATATATTAAGCTTTAAGATTATACTTTCTAAGTTAAGAGGAATAAGCCTAGCCCTTTTAAAGGTAAATTTAATATTCTTTTCTATTATAATAGCCTAAAATATAATATAGAAGGCTAAAAAGAACTTAGTTTTTAAAATATAAGTTATAAAATATCTAATTAAATATTTTATTTCTTAGCTATAAGTATTCTTAAGTACATTAAAATACCTAATATTAAGGGGCTAAAATATATAAGATAAATAAGGTAATATATAAAGCCTAATAATCTTTTTTTTATAGTATCTCTTAAATTTAATTAAGTAATAACTTTTATAATTATTAAGAATTAAAAGATAATAATAATTATTTAATTACTTAGTGTAAAAGACTGAAGGATAGAGAAGATATAGTCTTCAAAGACTATAGGGTAGATGACTTGGATAGGAGGTGAATAGGCAGAGGAATTAGTCTTAATAAATAGTTGAGAAGCTAAATAAGAAGACATAGGATAGGCAAAGTAAGAAGAAAGATGAATTAGGTTAATAAGAAGAAAACCAGCTTCTTATTGGTGTTTGTATTGCTTGAATTGATTCAGGATCTGAGGAACTAATTCTAAGAGAGGGCTTATAGCTTATATAGAGAATTACTCGGAATCTATTAGCCCGATTCGGATAAAAGTTATACCATCGGATAGCCCTGATTCCGGGCTTTAAAACTCTATTAGTTTTACTAATAACGGATAACTAGAAGCCGAGTTATAGCATAATAGATATTAAAACCTATAGGGTTTTAAACTAAGATATTTAAAACCGGATAGGAAATATCCCTTAAGAAGTGGATTTAACGGTGTTATCGGGCTTTTAATAAAGCCCTAAGTCCGAGATCACATGACCTTCCTAAAAGGGAAATAAGCCCAGAAAGGGCAATATTAACACTCCCTTACATCTTGCTTATCTAAGCAAAAACTGCTTAGGTAAGCTTTTTTTTTTGAGAAAGCGCATAAGCTATAATATAGGGTAATAAAATCCTAGGCTTATATCTAATAAGCTTATTTTTCTAGAATTTTATTTATAAAAGACCTTTTTATTATAAGGACTTTTACAATAATTAACTATTCCTCACCATTCGGGATCATAGGATTTTAAGAACTACCTCAGAACTCAGAATTACAGCTATGCGGGGTTTAAGCCAAATTGAGGGCTAATATAATCTGCACGCCTACGCGTTCGCGAGTGGAGGCGCGCCTAGGCGTGTCCCTATGGGGCCCCATTCTTATGAGGTAGCTTAGTTAAGCCGTCAGCAACAGAACTTTCTATAGATATCTAGTCTAGTATAGTCTCGAGGTTGGGCTCTTCGCCCGCACGTAACCTACGGCTCAATGCACAACACATCTATTGATCGACAACGAACCCATCTTTATGAGGCCGCATGGTGATTGGCTGAACCAATGCAGGTCGAATGGTCTGCGCATTGTCCACGAGATTGACACCCAGTCCGGGGCCATCAGGGATCTCTACGAAGCCGTCAACCATGTCGGGCACATGGTCCACAACGTCGGCCCCCAAGTGCGAAGTCGTAGATGTGAAGACTCCCGCCTCGAAACCGGTCGCAAACTCCTGGATGGCAAAGTTTGGGATCGCGGCGGCGAGCTGAAGACAGGCAGCGAGGCCGATGGGCGACAGGGGGTTGTGCGGCACCACCTGGATGTGGTGAGCCTCGGCCATGGCAGCTACCTTCTTGGCGCCCGTGATTCCTCCGCAGACCGCCACGTCGACTCGAGCATACTCGACAGCGTTTCTGGCAAAGAGAGCTTGGAATTCGTATATCGTGCAGAAGCGCTCGCCGGTGGCCACCGGGACGGAGATGGCGTCTGCCACCCGCGCCATCGCATCTGCGTTTTCTGGCCGGATAGGGTCCTCCACAAACATGGGGCGGTACTCGGCGATGGCGTTGGAGAAGGTGACTGCTTCGGCAGGGGTGAGGCGCCGGTGAAGCTCGATAAGCAGGTCGACCTTGTCCCCGACAACCTCGCGCATCCTCCTGACGTTGTCGATGGCATTATTCATCTTGGCGACGTGGGTCTTGAAGTACACCTGATCGTTGCCTTCGTCCAGGAAGGGGTTGATGTGTCCGAAGGCGGTATAACCCAGGTCCATCTTGCGCTTGCACTCCTTCAGAACACCCTCGATTGTCTTCTCGTAGATGTGGCCGTACACGCGAGCCTTGGTCCGGCATGCGCCCCCGATGAGCTCATAGATGGGCACGCCGAGCGTCTTGCCCTTGATATCCCAGAGGGCAATGTCAATTCCAGAGATGGCCGCGTTGATGGCGAGGCCCTGGAAATAGCTGAAGCGGTGCATCACGTTCCAGTGATGCTCAATGCACGAAGCTGGCTTTCCGACGAGATACTCGGCGAAGCGAGTGACCACGGTTGCAGAGGCTTCGACATGGCCCCAGATGCCACACTCGCCGAAGCCCACCACGCCGTCATTGGTTGCTATGCGTACGAACATGAATTGTCCCACGTGGAGTGGGACAACGGAGTGGATGAGTTGTTTCTGAGGGGAGGCCATCTATTCATGTCGTGTCAATTCCCGTGACGAGTGAAAGAAGTGATGGAGATGCTTACCCTGTCTGATTAGATAGTCGAGGAGTGCCGCACGGACGACTGAATGCAGGTTGAGGGGAGGGGTGTGCACAGACTGACTGCTGCCAACGTCGAATGAAGCGATAATGTTATTCCGCTCGAGTGCCGTACTGGAGTAAGGTAGGGAGAGTAGAGGAACGGCAGGTCTGCAGCAGCAAATGAGAAGGTTTATTAGTAATAAATCAAGGAAAGCTCATGATGAGGGGAGACCGGCATCGGGGCTCATGATCCGAACACATGTAGCAAGCTACTCCCGTATCGGCGGGGAATCGGCTCTCCACTGCAACTGTTCTGCCAGAGGGATCGGCCTGGAGTGGGGAGGCCCAGTCTCCGGTACCACAAGATATCTCCCCACACCCACATTACAATCACGTGCCAAAAGTCTAGAATCGCCTCGTGGTAACCCCACTTTCTGCGAAAGTCGCTCATTAATCCCTTCTTTTTTAACCTCTAGAATTAATAATAAAATAGCTTTTAAATTAGGCTCTTTTAGCCCTAAAATAAGCGCTAATTATAAATCTAATTATAAATTTATTCCTAAGTAAAGGACTATAATAATAGCTAAGGTATATATTAATAAACCTTAGAAGGAGGTTATAGCTAATTTTAGTATAATATAAGGTATAATCTCTAAGATAAAAAGATATTAAGAAAACTATTATAACCTATAATTAAGGCCTTAAAAAGGATATCTAAAGAAACTCTTAGCTTTATAGATTATATAGATTAATTTATATATTAATTAATATTATCATCTTATATAATAAGATATATTAATTAAGCTAGAGTTAGATATTTTTATTTATACCTTGAAGTATTATCTTTATAGCTATTAGCGCTATAAATAGTAGTTGAGAAAATAAATTTAATTATTAAAAAAAGATATAAAAAATAGGCTTAACTATTATTAATTTTAGATATATTATCTTAATAATTATATTAAGATATAAAATATTAAAAATAAAGTTTTTTTTATATTAATATTTATAAATTTATTTTATTAATAAAATTATAATTTAAAATATATTTAATAATGTTAATAACTAAGTCTTTTAATACTTTAATAAGAAATATAAAAAAGATTTAATAAATACTTAAATTTATAAAAAGCCTTATTAATTAATTATAATATAAAGAGGTATTATTATAATAAAAAATATAATTATAATAATAAGCGATTAATTAGCTAAGAGAAAAAAATATTTATCTTAGAGTTGTAAAAAGGCCTTAATAAAAAGTCTTTTTTTTTCCTTAAATAACTTTAAGCTTTTTTAATAAAATAATACTTATATTTATATTATTAAGGTAATAATAGACTCATTACTTTTATATAAGATCTAGCTTATTAATTAGCTAATATATTTATTAAATTTAAATTTTATTAAATATATTTAAAAGGCCTTAAAGGCTAAGCTTTAAAGATTATACCCTTAATATATCTAATTATAAAGTAATAAGGCTAATAAAAAGCTATTAATTAAATAGATCTAAGAAGCATAGAAAGCCTTACCTAATTAACTAATTTAAAAGCTAATAGCTTTAGCATATAATAGGCTATGCGCTTATATCTATATATATGAATAATATACTCTATATTAATTTATAGAATTAAGGCTTTAAAATAACATACCTTTTATTTTAATATAACCTCTATTTATTATAGAAATATAGAGTAAAGATAAAGCTTAAAAATAAAATATATAAGTAGTAGGTGGGGCGATTCTAGACTTTTGGCCTTTAATTTTACTAATCTATAAACTCGCCCGCAGCCCGTATTTTCACGAATGTACATAGCTTAAGTTTTCCTGCTTCCAACCTCGGTTATATCAACAGTTCTTAATCGGAATTCGCGCCGGAAATGCAACTGAGATTGAGTGTCAAGCTGGAGATGGTCCCCAAGCCGCTCTAGAGTATGCACCAAAACATGATAACGTCTGTGGGCCCGGGTGTAACGGTGCACGTTAGCCGTCACGCCACAGGGCAAAAGATTGGGCTATAATCGCTATTGTAGCAATCATAGTGGTGCTTCAGCTGCCTATAGAAACTTACAGCGCTATAACGGGTAACCAAGCCGTAACACCGGGGGATTGGTAATTATTTATCAAGAAGCCGCACCAAATCCAACGAAGTAGTCTCAAAAACCGAGTTCTTATCAACCGCGTAGCTGGCATCCATTGGAGGGCAGGCGAAGCCTCCGGAGAAATCAGGACGGAGGACGCGATTCAGTCAGAACTAACGCCACAAAGATCTCCCACCTTTCGCCGATAGAACAGTCGCATCAACCATTATACAGCTATGTCCACCACGTTGAATAAAACCAGAGTGCTCATAGAACAACCTTACAACCCTGGCTATAGACCCCAAACTGCAAGACAAGGTCCTTACGAGGATTTGCCTTTCTGGTCTATTGTAAGATCCCTACTTTGTCAGGTTCTTACCCCACGTAAAAACCCTGAAGTGGCCATGTTCAGACGTTGAATTACGACAACTCCGTCTTAGCTACCAAACAGTCGAGTTTGATCCCAAGTCCTTCGCCCATGGGTTCATCGTCTGAGTAGCTCTACACAAGTTTGAAGGAGTTCCAAAACTTGTATCTCCATAGAGCCTTGGCAAGCACGCCTAGGATTTCCATCCAAGGCGTCATAGGTGGCTTATACAGTCGAGTTCTGCCACTATCGCAGACCCATGGCGGAGCGGTTATCGAGGCCATGACCAACAAGTACTTGTGATCAGTGCAAGATACCCCATCACATCGTCCAGTTGTAACTACCGGAGAGTCTAGCCCCTGTGCCGCGTTACACTAAGCGCTTTTCAGTCTAGAGAGTGGCAGGGCTCTCCCCCAGACAGGGCTTCTGATTAGCCTCTGCCAGGTTTGATATTCCTTACTTAGCTGTATATGTATTAGATCATGCGTCGAAGCGAGACCAGTCTCGACTGAAGTGAATATTAGGAGGCAATACAGTACTCCAAGCTCCTGATAAACCAGGAGGCAAGTGTACGCGCGTTTGCCAAGTAAGAGAAAGGTCCAGACTTCTTGGAATTGTGGCGCCTTGTAGTTTCACTATTCTATCCCACCCCTCAACCGGAAATGATGTTCACTGGCTGGCGTCTTCCAAGACACCTTATTATCGAATCTCACTTGTTTCTCGTCGGCTCCACATTCGCCATCCATCGTCTCTGGGGTTCCCCATGGGGTGGTGCTCGAGGCTTGCATCTCATCTCGGGACCACTGCTGGCTGTTAGATCGGCGAGATTAGCAGAGATATAAATGTCCTCATTGATCCTGCCATCTCCGTCTGGAGCTGACTTGACCCTATCAGACTCGTCACGAGTAACACATAACGTAACATTTTGATACTGATTCGTTACCACTGCTCTATCCAACATGGAAAGTTTTCCAGCCGAGAAACCGACGGTTTCCAACATTGATTCCGTCTCCCAGACGGACAATGAGCTACAGGCTCATCCCAAAGTAAACGCTCATGTAAACTGCGCTGAATCATCCACTGACAAGATTCCTCCAGACCTGGCATTTCACAGTCAAGATGATGGTTCTGCTGAACCTCTGCTTCATGGTCTTTTGTGGTAACCTCTATGGAGTGAGTGCGCCTTTCGGATTGTGATGCCACTACCACGGTAGATTCGATTGCTGATCAAAATCACCGATAGGCGGGTGTCTCCCCTGGACTTGCTCAGGTCGTCCAAGAGTTCCACTCGGACTACACGGAGGCCAGTAACATCATCTCCTACTGCCTTCTGGCTATTGGCCTGGGTGCCTGGATCTGGACACCTACTGCGGTCGTGATTGGAAAGCGGCCAGTTCTAGTGACGTCCCAGCTCGTGTTCGTTGCTAGCAGCATTTGGGGCTCTCAGGCTACTTCCATGCAGAGCCTCCTGGGATCAAGAATCGTTGGAGGTCTTGGGGCTGGTGCCGTGCAGGCAGTTGGGCCCGCGGTCGTGGGAGGTGAGCAATAAACAAGCCCTGACTCTACCAAGACGGACGAATCTGACCTGTGGACCACAGAGCTGTTCTACGAAAAGGACTATTCTAAAGCCATGGCTGCATATACCCTCAGTCTCTGCCTGGGCTCGCAGCTCGGTAACCTCATTGGAGGGCATCTTATCGCCGCGAGGGGTTGGCAGTGGCATTTCAAGCTCCTGGCAATCCTCGGCGGGATCAACTTCGTCACGCTCTTGTTCTTCTGTCCCGAGACCGCCTACATCCAGGATATTGCCGACAATGCGAACGCAGCTGATGTTGACGACGACATCCGCCGCCACACTGATGGCAAGAAGCAGAATGCTATGAAGTCGCTGACGCAGAACCTGTTCTACCTCCGTCACCCGCATGTCCGAGGAGGTGGCCTTAGGCAGTGGGTTCTGTCTTTCCTGCTTCAGATTGAGTACACCTTCAACCCTACCGTTCTTCTATCGTCAGGCATGTGGGGAATATCTCTGGCATGGTGAGTACCAATATGAGAGAAACGATCATGACAATGTACCTTGACCTTTCCTAACCATGGGTCGCAGGGTTGCTGGCATCTCCGTGATTCAAAACCCTCTCTTCGCTGCGCCTCCCTTCAACTGGAGCCCCGCTGAGATTGGAAACTGGGCCGTCACAAGCACTGTTGGAGTTGTCGTGGCATTCCCCATCGCTGGTCCTCTCACCGATTTTGTATCCAGCCAGATTGGCAAGCGTAGAGGTCACCATATGCCCGAGCATCGCCTCTACACTCTGATTCTTCCTTTCCTCGTCGGCTCGGCTGGTCTGATAATCTTTGGTTATACTTATGCCAATGGATCTTATGTTGGGCCTGCAGTCGGATACGCGATGCAAACATCAACCTTGCTGCTGATCCCGGCGACTGTCCTTTCTTACGGGGTTGACAGCTACCCATACGACTCTGCTGAGGTGGTGTCTCTGATGAATGCCGTCACTCATCTGATACCATTTGGCTTGATCAAGACGGCTTCAGACTGGCTGGAGAGAGATGGTACTCGAAAGATGTTCCTGGACATGGCAATCATCCAGTGGGCATTGATTGCCGGCATCACTGTTGTCCTGATTTTGTTCGGGCCCTTCATTCGCGTTCAGTCGCACAAGATTCATGCCAAGTATGGTGCAAAGAGGTTTTTGTAATCATACTGGAAGATGGACCAGATACTGACGAATGATGGTTGGGTATCCACGGTTCACGCATTTTGTTCCATTCCTCTGCTCACCTAATCCTTGGACAGAGCAGTATATTTTCTTGCCTGGCGCCCATTTCACTCAGCCATCGCAATTCTCGTCACTACCCTACACATCGGGATATCCGTTGGGACTATGCTCTTTGCTCACACTCAATACCTATTCCGCAAACTTCTAACACTGAAGTTCATCTGTCTGACATAGCATAGACGGGTAAACTCATCCGAAAAATTATACTGTTCATATCTTCTCATGGAGCCTCAGTGATGTATCGTAATGCCGACCATCTGTTATAATAAACCTTGCACTGCGTACTTACCCTATTCTCAAAGCTGAGAAGTTCTCGGGACTGTTACTCCTGGGTCTAGATTGAAAAGAGACTCACTATTCTAGTGGGCTGGAAAATGTTAGGACAGGTGCAAAATTCTGGGACACCCGATTGCCTACAAAATGATTATGCCAAGAGGGGGATCTCGTCTCTTATCACGGCCTCCAGAAGGGTCACCAGCACGTAATATACGCGGATCCTAGACTAACTAATCATAGGTAGATCACCTAGATCGCACCGTAATCTAGATAATCTAGATTAATAAGATTACTAAGTAATCCTTATAATCTAATTTAATATTAAAATATATAAAATATACTTATTAATATTTTCTTATATATTAGCTATCTTAGCTATTAATATAACTTAATTATACTTAATACCTTTAAGTATATTATTAGATATAATTTATACCCTCTATCTTAGAGTATATAACTTAATCCTCTGCTAATATAAACCTAGCACAACTAGTTTATCCCTTAGGAAATGCACGCTTATTATATTAAGGATTAAATAGTTAGAACCTTAATACCCTAGCTAAGAAGTCTTCTAATATGTAAGAGTATTCGGGTTACGCCGGCTATCGCCGGTAGGTCGGGAAATCCTCGGATCATTACGTGGGTCTTAGGCCACGTAAAACTCTTCTCGTCGAAGACTCGCAGAGGCTTCGGCAAGTTAAAGTCACATTAATATATCGAACCTACCTTTTCATCTCTGGTATCATCCTGATCGTGCCCATCGGGCCCACCTCTTTACATAATGGTCTCGGACTATGATTTCCTTATGAATTCCTATATAAATTAGAAGCGTAAGCTATAGATATACCTCTGGCATGGTAGTTAGTTTCTAACTACGAATTCGAGCCCGTGGCTTCTAGCTGCGACTACGAAGTAAATAATTAGCCTATTTATTCATATATTTAACCTATTTTTCGACTAGGAAATAAGGCATAAAGTAATAGAAGAGGTTAAGAGGCTACTAGGGCAGCTCTTTAACCTCGAGGTCGCGATCGGGCACTATTACCGGGAGGAAATTAATGCCGCAGCTAGGGACCGGGTTAAATATAGGTCGGTAGGTAAAACCGGCTAGCTACTCGCGGCGGCTATTCTCTTTTATAATTATAATACTTGGATCAGAGGCACTTAGTGCCTAACTAGGGATTAATTAAGAGCTTATAAGTATCTTTAAAAAGATTTATATAGTATTTTAGGTAGAAATAATTAATAGAGCACTATGCTATCCCCCTCCCGTACCTATATTATGACTAAGGTCATATGGGTTAAGCAACCGGTTATAGCCTTAACGTACTTAAGGAGATATGTAAAAGTCTTTATTATGAAGGTCTTTTATTGTAAAAGTCCTTATAATAAAAAGGTCTTTTATTAATAAAATTCTAGAAAAATAAGCTTATAAGATATAAGCCTAGGATTTTGTTATCCTATATTTTAGCTTATGCGCTTTCTTATAGATTGCTTACCTAAGTCATACCTGCTTAGATAAGCAAGATATAAGAGAGTGTCAATATTGCCCTTTTTGGGCTTATTTCCCTTTTAGGAAGGTCACGTGATCTCAGACTTAGGACTTTATTAAAAGCCCGATAATGCCATTAAATCCGTGTCCCTCTATAGGGTATTTCCTATCTGGTTTTGAATATCCTAGTTTAAAACCCTATAGGTTTCAACCTATATTATGCCATAACTCGGCTTCTAGTTATCCGTTGCTAGTAAAACTAATAGGGTTGTAAAGCCCGGGATTAGGGCTATCCGACGGTATAACTTTAATCCGAATCGGGCTAATAGATTCCGAGTAATTCTCTATATAAGCTATAAGCCCTCTCTTAGAATTAGTTCTCTAGATCCTTAACCAATTTAAGTAATATAAACACCAACAAGAAGCTGGTTTTCTTCTTATTAACCTTATTCATCTTCCTTCTTACTTTACCTATCCTATGTCTTCGTATTTAGCTTCTCAACTATTTATTAAGACTGATTCCTCTGCCTATTCACCTCCTATCCAAGTCATCTACCCTATAGTCTTTGAAGACTATATCTTCTCTATCCTTCAGTCTTTTACATTTATAAATACAATTCTAGAAAAATAAGCTTATTAGATATAAGCCTAGGATTTTATTACCCTATACTATAGCTTATGTACTTTCTTATAGCTTGCTTACCTAAGCTATATAGGCCTAGATAAGCAAGATATTAAGGAGTTATAATATTAGCTTTTTAGTCTTTATTACCCTTTTGGGAAGGTCACGTGACTTCGGACTTAGGGCTTTACTAAAAGTCTAATAATACTGTTAAAACCGTCTCTACCTATAGGGTATTTTCCTATCTGGTTTAAGATATCTTAATTATAATAAGCATAGTATTCCTAAGGGATAAACTAGTTATGCTAGGTTTATATTAGCAGAGGATTAGGCATATAGTCTTAAATATAGCATAAATTATATCTAGTAATATACTTAAGGGTATTAAGTATAGCTAAATTATATTAATAATTAAGATAGCTAATATATAAGAAAATATAATAAGTATATCTTATATACTTTTATGCGAGGGATAGATTATAATAGATTATAACTTATAGGACTTAAGCTATTATAATCTTATTTATTAGATTAGAGGGGATTATAGTCTATAAGTTATGATTTATTTTAATCTATTTATAATTAGCGGGATAATATACGTCCCTTTTATTATATAACCTGGGGGTCTCTTAGGCCGTGATATTAATTTAAAATCCTATAGGTTTTAACTTCTATTATGCCATAACTCGGCTTCTAATTATGTATTATTAGCAAAGCTAATAAGGTTTTAAAGCCCGGAATTAGAGCTATCCGACGGTATAACTTCTATCCGAATCGGGCTAATAGATTCTAAGCAATTTACTATATAAGCTATAAACCCTCTCTTAAAAATAACTTCTTAGATCTTAAAAAAAAAGCAATAAGAATACCAATTAGAAGCTGGTCTTCTCTATTTTAACCTTATATTATATTTGACCTCCTTTTATTACTCTATGATTCCTTACCTAGCTAATTAGCTTTTTATAAGGACTAATTCCACTGCCTATTTACCTCCTATTTCTATTACCTATCCTATAGTCTTTAAAGACTATATTTCCTCCATTTTTCAGTCCTTTATATATATAATAAGCTTACTTTTCTAGAATTTTATTTATAAAAGACCTATATATAATAAGAACTTTTACACCTAGCTAATTAGCTTTTTATAAAGACTGATTCCTCTGCCTATTCGCCTCCTATCTTAGTCACCTACCCTATACTATTTTCAGGCTTTATAGTCTTTATTTTTCAGTCTTTTACAGCTAGGGAATACCCTAAGGCGCTTTAATTAATAAACTTAACAGCTAGATAGCTATAAAAGTATAGATTTAGCCTCGCTGGTGCTTATCTAAGAATTAAGAGAATAGATTAGCTTTTTAAATACTCTATTAGGAATCTCTAGGCTATGCTCCGTCCTATAATCAGATCCGCGCTTATGTTATACGCTTATTATAATAGCAGGGCAAATATCCTAAGTTAAGACGTAATTAAGTAACCACATTTATTAAGCGCTATATAGACCTAAAAGATAAAATAGGTAAATACCAAAAAGGCAAAAGGTTTAATTCTTTTACACCTAAGGCAGTTTATTTATACTTTAATATTAGGGAGGGCTAGTATAGCTAGATTAAGCCTAAAAATACTATTAATATTAATAAAGGGGGTATTATAACCAATTTCGGCAAGTATCTATCTATATACCCGTGATTGAAATTTAACTAAGTAATCCTTTTTATTTAGGCTTAGATAGCCTAGTTATTAGAAGCGCGGACCTAAAGTAGAAGGCATTTCTTAAGGGACTATAGATTCGAAATTGGACTTTATTTATTAAAGCTATTACTACTAATAGCCGCGCCTTAATCTCTGGTATAATCTTTAAAGGGAAAGAACTCTAGAAATAGTAGTTTCTTAAGGAATTCAAGCAAATAGTTAGGGTTTAAATCCACGACACTATAACACATTTGGGTGGCATGCTAATTAAGCCAATAGACCCTTTTTGCAAAAGATCAACCAGTTCAGGCACACCGTGCCGGAACTATGCCACACCTCTATCTATAAGGCTCCTCCGTGCGGTCACGTGACCTCGCACGTGACCCACCTCCTTACAGACACTCTACGACACATTTGTGAATATGGCGTGGATATGGATGCTGACTAATAACTTCGATGAACACTATCACCCCGGTCGAATTGATCGTATCGGATCCATCAGGAAGTTAAAGTGTCAAGTTGACAGGTGTAAATACGGTGTAAATACATGACATGCCCCCCGGTCGCAAATATCACATATTATTCTCATAATGAAGTGACTTCCAAATTTGTGGAAGCCCCCCGTGGGAGCGGCTTCGACCACGGGGGTGCCGAATTGGAGGCCCCCACAAGTTTAAGTTCCTCAGTAGCATTCCACTAATTAAAAGAGATCCACAGGGGTCCGTTGCTCGCCCTCGCCCCTAAAGAATCGCCGAATACCGATGAGTCGTCAATGATGTTTAGCCGAAGCCGAATGGCATGGCACGGTGGCTGGCAGAGCGGGACCCGGAGCGGACAATGATTAGTTAACAAGTTTCACTAGCGATAAACTGCTTATAAATCTGTTGAACCCCAGACCTCAGCCCTTGGTGCCTCGCTATAGCATTACTCGCGATTAAAATGTTATCAGCGAGAAGCGAGAAGGAAAGATAAAAGGAGCCCTCGGGCTCAAGCATTGCTATCGATACTTTCAACCATCTCTACAATTCATCTAAATAATCATCAAGCTTTTACAATGTCTTCAACCAAGCTCATCGTTATTCTTGGAGCCACCGGCAACCAGGGCGGCTCCGTGGCCAACGTGTTTCTTGAGGAGCCAGGCTGGCAGGTTCGCGCCGTGACTCGAAACACCACCAGCCACAAGGCTCAAGCCCTCGCAGCTCGTGGCGCCCAAGTCGTCAGTGCTGATCTGGATAAGCCCGACACGCTCCCGGCAGCTTTTGAGGGCGCCCATGCCATTTTCGCCGTCAGCGACTTCTGGGGCCTATATATGAATCCCGCCAATAAAGGCAAGGCCAAACCGGGACAGCCTTTAAACGTTTGGGCGGGCGACCACGAGACTCAGCAGCTGAAGAATGTCATTGACGCCGTTGCTAAGGTCCCAACCCTACAACGCTTCATCCTCTCTTCACTTTCAGACGTTACGAAGTGGTCCGAGGGGAAGTACACTCATGTCTATCACTTCGACTCTAAGGCAAATGCAGAGAAGTACGGCCGGGAGAAATACCCTGAGCTATGGGCAAAGACGAGCATTTTTCAGGCAGGACTCTTCCTAAGCAACTACATAGGCGGCTCATTGGGTAAACCTACCAAGGTAAGCGTCTACTCCATGCTTACGGAATGAGGAATAGGTGGCTAAGAGATATAGAATGCCGAGGGAACGGTACAGTTCATCGGAACCCTGAAACCCGACGTCAAAGTCCCGTACATTGCCGCCGAAGAGGATACTGGGCCCATCGTCAAGGCACTCATCAACGGGCCCGCTGGCAAGAACGTCATTGGGTATAGAGCGTGGTTAACTATCCAGGAGCTGGCCCAGGCATTCTCAAACGCCACCGGCTTAAAGGCCGAGTCTGTCACGCTGCCCGGGGACGAAATTTTCAAGTACTTCCCGGATGAGTTGAGGCCGGAGGTCGAAGAGAACTTTGGCTACTACAACGAGTTTGGGTACGAGGGTAGGGCCGACCCTACCATCGTTCACCCTAAAGATGTAAGTTGACTTCGCTTGCTCATGTCGTGAGTGGGGCTAATGTATGGGTATAGTTGGAGTCACCTCCTTCCCTTGATACGGTGGAGAATTACTTCAGAAAGCAGGATTGGTCACAGGTCTTTGATGCCTGAAGAGAGAAGTCCCCTCGGCAGGTATGCAGTCCGGGCCAGCAGGGCGTGGAAATGGGTTGTGGAACTTGGTTGAATGTAGACAGACATTCTGGTAGAGATGTCCCGTATTAGATCAACAGGCAAACCTTTCTTGACCAGCAAACCAAGAGTTCTCGGGATGACCGGGGGCCCAGGATGCGCTATACAGCCCGGGGTAGCGCGAACTGTGCGCTGAGTTTGAGCAAAAGTACAACTTACCTTATTATCTCGCCCTAGAGAGTATACCTTGTTGGAAACCCCCTTTTGTCACGGCCTATGCCGCGGCTGAATGCATAATACCGTACGGCACGGATCAATGTATTACTACTCACTCCGGAACCTATCGTCCCGCTTACTCCGTGCGAGTGAGAATATGGCGATATCTGAGATGTCTATCGTGAGATGCTCCCTAGACCTTGCCTATAAAAGACCACATAACATTCATTAGATAGACACCCTAGCTACCTTAGCTTTTAATATAATTCGATTACTCAAAATACTTCTTGACATTATTAGATGTGATACGAAACCCTACGCTCAGTACGCTACAACGCAAAAGGGTCTGTAATGTTAAATGGGGTACGAGGGGCGAATGTGGCGATTTCATAAGAAGTAAAGGTACTTAGAAGCAGCTAATTTTCCTAGGGAAATCAGTCAATTTAGGGTACCAATACTGCTATCAATAATCCAATGGCCACCTGCCCTTAATCAGGACTCCAAGGGGCCCAGTTGACCAGAGGGATGCAGAGGGCGTGAATAGCTTCTTCAACGGTCTCAGAGGTGTGAATAGTTGAGTTATCATGCATATACATAAGGTCGTGACACGCGCCAAGCTGCCGTAGCTGCCAAAGGAAGGGACTTACGCGTTGCAAAGGTCCAAGGAAGTATTGTAACCCGTTATTTGGTGTATCAAATCCGAAGACGAAGTTGGAGCCCTTCCAATGGCCACAGATAACGCCCCAGGTGTTGACGCCGTTGCCGTGTTGTCGCCGGTGACGAAATTGACGAAGGGGCTCGTCATTTCGAACCGTGGACCGCCGTATGCCTTGGTTAACGCTGTAAAATGTCTTCTCATCTGAAGAGGCAATACAGCCTCGGATCCAATCTGCCCGGTCAGGCCAGCGTGTGAGGATTAATCGAGACATCTATACGCGGTCTTTGCGAATACGCTCGCTCGTCATGAGCTTCTTGCCGGGTCGCCGGCTGCGATAACCAAGGGAGCCCATCCCGGTCTTAAGAGCTGTTATTCCCACGTCAACATAGCCCGGAACAAACTCTCGTAGGTCTTGCCACGTAATGTCTCGATGAGACCGATCTTCATTGAGGAAATCGGTAAGGGTCTTAAGCTGCTGTGGACTAAGGCGATGGCCAGCTGGCCGGGGAAGGGACTTCTGCGATGACAGGGGGGTCTCAAGGGCGTATTGGACTTGCTGGTAGGAAAAAGGGACCAGGGCAGTTATTCAGCTAGCCCGTAGCCGGTCCACTCATTGAGCTTCTGAAGGGCGACCCGGTCATCGCGTGAGAGGTCGTTCTTCTTGTGCCGTGTGGATTTGGGCTGAAATCGCTCTTGCGGCGGCTGTTGGAGTGGTTGTAAGACCCGGCAGTGAGGAATGAGCTCGTCGTCAGGTATATCTTGCAGTTGGCGGTCTTCATAGATGATAAAAGAATCAGCTTCTGCGGCGGAATTCATCGTGGTCAAAATCGCGGCTCAAAAAGCTGCTGTTTTGGCGGCGTTGTGGTGTTGCAGCGTTGCAAGGTTGAAAATGCAGCCGGCGGCGTTGTGGCGATAACCTCACCCTCTCGTCATAAAAGATCACCTTGAGAGAGGTACCTTTCCTAGCAATTTATTAGGAAAGGTACCTGTCTTGCTATAGATTAATGAGGGGTAAGGGTGTAAGGCGAGGTATTAGCGGCTCCACCTTTTAGCAACACAGACCCTTGTGGGTTGTACGCCCCGCCACAACTGCCAACATGAACCAATCAGGTTACAGTTTACTAAAATGTCATGCCAAAAGTCTGATAACACCAGCCCTATATAATACCCCCTGTATTTTTAACACTTATAATTACTCTTTAATTACGTAATAAAAAGAAGGTTAATTTAAATAAAAATACTATAAGAAGAAAGCTCTAATTCCATAGATTTATATTTTATATACTACTCTTATATATGCTATATAGTATATAGCCTTTTTTATATTAAAGATATAAGCTTCTTAATATAATTAGTAGGCAAGGCATCCTATACTTCTTTAATTTATTTAATTATTTTAGCTATATTAATCACAGCTATAATATAGGCTAGGCGGGGAAGGCTAGTAAAATAAAATAACTAAGCTAGGGACTAAAAAGACTAAACCTTACTTATTACAGCTATAATATAGATTAGGCGGGGAAGCCTAGTAGAATAAAATAACTAAGGAAAAACTAAAGGGATTAAACCTTACTCTTATTAGTCCTAGGACTAAATATTAAAGATATTAGTCTTACCTTAGACTAATATTAAGGAATATTAGTCTAAGTAAACTATATAAGTATATAAAATACCTCTACTTATATTTTCTTATATATTAATTACCTTAGCTATTAATATAACTTAGTTATTCTTAATACTCTTAAATATATTATTAAATATAACTTATACTTTATTTAAGATATAAAATATTCTTCTCTATTAATATAAACCTAATATAATTAATTTACCTCTTAGGAACTTATATAATTAATATATATTAATATCTCTTATTTAGAGGATTATATATATTACTTTAAATAATATTAAATATAATAGGTACCTAGGCTACTCTTATTAATAACTATTAATAAGTCTTACTTATTAATTACTTATTAGTTCCTACTATACTAGCTAGAGCTAACCCTAATAATTATAAAGAAATAAATAATAATAATAAAGAAATTAAATAGCTTAGGACCTAGGTTAATACTTTAATTATTAAGTTAGATAAACTAAGAGGACTTATAGATTATATAGTAGTAAGTTAATAAACCTAGAACTAATAATATATAAATAATATCTAGCAAATTAATAATATAGCTATTACTATTATAAAAAGCAAAGATATAAGAGAAATATTAAAGCTAAACCTATTAAAGATATTTAATAAAACTATATATAAATTACTAATATTTTTTATATAGCTATAAGCTTTTATAACTTATTATTTACCCTAATTTACCTTAGTATCTAATAAGGTTTAATATACTATAGGGTAATTAATTAAATATATTACTATATAGTTTAAACCTATTATAAGGGAATACCTTATAGTTCTTACCTCTAAATATTTACTTTATATTATTAACCTTTACTTAAGCTATAAAACCTTTAAAGCTATATTTTAATAAGTATTTAAAATAATTAATATAAGAGAATAAGTTAAAAAAGAGATTAAGGTACTTAGATAGATATAATTAGCCTTAAAATATAAAATAAAATACCTCTAGCTTATATTAAAGCTTAATTAAGGCTAAAAACCTTTAATATTATTTTTCTTTAATAAACTTAAGGAGGATATATAGGCTAACTTATATAAAGAGAATTAATTAAATAACCTAATTAATTATATAAAAAGAGCTATTAAGATTAATAAATAATAATTTATATAGAAAAGACTATAAAACCCTAGGTTTAATAATAATAAAATAAATACCTTTTATTTTAATGCCTATTCGAATAGGAAATAAGAAAATAATATAATATATAATATTTACCTAAGACCTATAGAACTTAGAGCTATTTATTAAGGTAAATAAGACTATTATAGACTTAAATACTATTATTACTATAAAATAAATTATATTAAGAAGATTTATTATAAAAAATAATAAGATATTAAAGAAAAATATTATTAATTAAGCTAATAATAACCCTTCTTAGAAGATAAAAAATAAATAAGGTTTACCTAAATAAATAATAAACTATAGATAGCTATTTATATTATTAAGATACTTAAAATAGTATAATAAAGCTATAATAAGACTAGATTATAACTAAGAGAAGTTATTATACCTTACTAAGCTATTTACTTAATAGAAAGATAAGTAAAAGGTAATTATATAATAAATAATATTATAAAGAAATAACTTTATAAATTAGCTAAACTCCTAAAGGTCTATTAATTATACTTTATAAATCTTAATATATAAAACCCTCTATTAAAGCTAAGTAATAAAAATAATAAGGCTAATAACTTATTATAATAAATTATTATTACTATATAATTAAATAAATATTATAAACCTATTAATTAAATTAATTACTTTATAGAGGTATAAGTTTAATATAAATTAAATATTACTTAAATTTATTATTATTAGTATAATTATTATATAGTATTATAAAAAGATAACTATTAAATCCTTATTAAGAAAGAAATTAATTTATATTATTAAATTAACCTAAGTAAATAATATATCTAGCTAGCTAAAAAATAATAAGATATAAATAAAATAAAAGATCTTTATATTTATATATATTACGGGGAGCTTATAATAAACCCCTAATAACTAGGACTATAATATAATCCCTAGAATAATACCTAAATTATATTAATATACTCCTAATATAAAGAAATTACTTAGGTAGTATATAAGGATTATTATTATAGCATATATCTTATAAATAAATAATAAAATAATTACTTTCTAATTTAATTCTTATAAATATATACTAGACCCTATCTAGCCTATAAAGCCTATTAATATAAAGTAAACTAATAGTTTAAAGTTATTAGTATTACTATATTATATTTTTACCCTTTAAAGGAAAAAGCTATTAGCCTAGAGCGATAATATCACGGCTTGACATGCACCTGTCACGTGCATAAGCAGGACTCCACAATTCCTCACCAATTAAACGAGCGATCACCCTTAACACCAAGTGATCACGGTGATTATATCACTGATCACCCTGATCACTTACATGATCACCTTGATCAGGATCGATGGGCAGAGTGATCACGACCGACACCCAAAGTATATAGAACACGCTCATTGCACTCTCTTATATAGTAGCTACCTCACCTATTAATATAACTTAGTTATACTTAATACTCTTAAGCATATTACCAGACATGACCTATATACCTATTTAAGACAACGCAATATTCTCCTCTGCTAATATAAACCCAGCACGACCGGTTTATCCCTTAGGAAACATACGATCGTCATAGATAAGTTATTATTACTATATAAAGGATTATAATAAAATAAAAAGAAATATTAAAGAGAGTTTACTTAAATAATAAA